GAGGAGTGACTGACATAGATGATGAACTTTGCCCAGTAGGGCTGTTCTTTAGTTTGGTTAGCTCATTTTTCTCTTCTCTATACATGCATACATATGATTTTCCTTTGTTATAAACCACAAAGACTTACAATTGTAATTGTTTGCAATACTTATTTTGGAGTTATAGTAGCTATCAATTAGTTGGATTGCAGAAAATCGTCATGCTTTGTTCTGTTTTGGATAATCAAATGATGTGTGGTCCTTATCATCAGAAGAAAATAAATAGGAGTCAGGGTAAAAGTGCATATAGGGATCAAGAATTTGGGTTGGTTATTTTTTACTCTTCATCCTTGCTTTATATTTTGGATACTTTCTACTTTGGCATAAGAGACGAGATGTTGAATTTCATTGCTAGGAAGCAGTTTAAAAATGTTGTGTACATTTGCCCTTTTCACTGAGGTCACACTGTAGTTATAGAGCAGTGTTCCATTTTGAAATAGTGCTGTCTGTGTGAAGTGGATACTCATAGGGAAAATGTGTAGAGAACTGAAACACAGGGAAAAGGAGAACTACAGCTACATAGCAGTAGTGTGCAGGAAAACCTCAGTCAGTCGCCAGAGAGACATACTTTCATTTGTGTTTAAAAAAAAGAAGTATGTATAAAATCAGCTATTTTGTGGTGTTTTATGCCATCCGATGAAATTCAAGAAAATGAAGTCATTAAAAGTTTAACTTATTCATTAATATCAGTCCTCTTAAAATAAGCATTCTCCTTTATGAAGCAGCACGATAGGAACTGCATCATCGTAGCTTTATTGAGAAACAGACATGTGTATGTTCCTTCTTGTTTAAGTTAATAGTCCAGAGGTGTTTTGTAGTCTTCAAAATTCAGATTTCTTTCCCCAGCACTTTTTGGGATTTAAATCCTTAATTTTTGTTACTTTAGATGGTGACAAGACAAGAAAGAATGGTTTTAAACTGAAGGAAGGTGGATTTAGATTAGGTGTCAGAGGAAAGTTCTTCACTGAGAGAGTGGAGAGGTGCTGACATAGGCTGCCCGGAGAGGCTGTGGATGCCCCATCCCTGGCATTGTTTAAGGCTGGGTTAGATGGGGCCCTGAGCAGTCTGATCTAGTACTGATCCAACAGTTGGCAGGGCGGTTGGAACTTGATGATCCTTGAGGGCTCTTCCAAGCCATTCTGTGATTCTATGAAATTATCTCATTTCTTAATAGGCTAAAGTTTCAGGTAGCAGGTGGGGAAGTAGCTGAATTGATTGTTCTCTGCATACATTCAGCTTTGCTTTTTGAAAGACTGAACATTTAAAAATATATTTTTTTTTAGTACAGCTCATCCCTGGGGAGTAAGTATCTTAATTAGGAACGCTGTGTCAAAGTTAAAGTAATGATTCATCATAAAATTCTACTGAAAATTAAATAGCATTTTTTGAAGCTTCAACTGCTGAAGATATTGTAGTTTTGGTAGTTGGAATTTGATAGAATAGCCATACTCTTCCTCAGATTTGTCTTCTCTTTGAGGAAGTCTTTATACTTTTGTAGTCATGGATTACTTTGCACAATAGATTACACTGAAAGGTGTGATTTGTCTTTTTGTGTGACCATTAACTGGAAAATTGTGTGAAGAAATAGTGATTACTCCTTTTATTATCTTTTCTTCCCAAAGCAGTTGTCATCTGCAAATAGCGTTTTGTCTTGTATGTGGTTGCCTTGGTTTAGGAGTTGTCCTTAATAACCTGAGCTTGAATGCACAGTGATCTGGGACTGCATCTTTAACAGCAAGGTTATTGACTGTATTCTCATTTGTACTTGGCTGTAGGCCTTGAGCTTCTCTTGGAAAATGTCTGTCTAGTCGTTCAGATTCTTCTAGTGTGAATGTCTGTTCTAGAAAGAATTCTAGTTAACTAATCAACATTGTGTATATCTTAAATGGGAATATTCATGGAGATTAATAATGTCATTAGGCTACCTTAAGATGTGGAGAATGTGCCTTTGTTAAGTCAGTTTTTGCGTCACTTAGCAATTAATGATATTCTCTTCTTCAAGCAGGAATCCATACCTAATAATACTTCTGTTTTGTTGAAGTATGTGTTAGGCTTTAAAATGGGCTTATGTTGGTTGTTCTGTTAAAGTGCAACAGTACTCTGGAGGTTTTGTGTGGTACATGCAGTACTTAGCAATGCTTGTGTATTAAATATGTAGCTAGAGGATTTAAGAAATTATAATTTCAAGATATATTTGAAATAGGGAGTACAAAAAAACTTAGCACTTTTAAAAAACTTTCTAGCTCTGAGCATTTATCTGTCAGGAATACAGAAGAGTAAATTCCCCTAGCAGTAGTCACTTCACCCCCACATTTTGGTTGAAAATGAACAATATTTTAAAAGTTTACAAGAAAACTAACAGTCTGGTTTAAGGATAGGAGGTGAAAAACACACACATCCTATTTTAATCACAGTCAAATGCTGACAGTGTAACAGTAAGCTGAATAAAAAACAGCTTTTGTCCTCTTAGGGTATTTAAACATGAGTAATTCTGGCAGATGTCATTTTTCATAAAGAGAATTCCAGCAAGATTAGGTGACAGATGAAGGTTCTTTATGTGTTACGGGGGTTATTTGCTCTTAGTAATTTTCCCAATGTTGCTCTATTTCTTATATATATAAAACATGTATATATAGTCGAGCATTGTGTGGTGTGTAAATTAAATTGGACAGACGTTTTGGCTCTGTGCAGCATAAGATTTTTGATTAATGTGATTTTGCAACATGTAGACAAAACGCTTGTCACTTAAGCTGAAAAGCTCCGGTTTCATTATGCTGATGTGGGGTTGCTTTTCTCCAGCAGCCCTTGTTCTGGCATCCCCTCATGTGGCTTCGCACTGCCTGCTTAACCTCCTTGTTGGGGAGCCTGCTGACATCTTACGTTTCCATTGTTATTTTCTTCGCAGTGCCTGAATCCCCAAATACTTGGGTGCTTACATTTGGCATCTGTGGAATTTTTGGAGATGGCTTAGAAATAATTAAATTCTCTCAGGAGAGTTAAATCAGTGTGTCTGTGTGGTGAATTGGAGTACGTTAACTGGTTAACAGAATTGACTGGGGAAGGTGACAGATTTAGAGATTGATGAAGAGATTGAATTTGCAGAGGGCATGGGATGGCCTTTCATAGGGAGAGGAGACTTGCCAAGCAAGCTGTTGAGGTATAGAAGGAGAATGAAATAGTGAAGAAGGAAGAAAAATAACAGTGTGTTCGTAGTGCCCATGGCTGAGGTCTGCCTTGTGGAGCTGGGGACATGGCCCTGGAGGGAAGGGAGCCTTCCTCCCCACCTGCAGGACTGGTTGCAAGCTCTTCTTTCCTGTCCCTTCATTTTTTGGCTCAGTTGACTGAGGTTTCAGTTGAAAGCTGGGTGGCCCATTTGAGTCACATGGTTGGAAGCGCATAGGGTTTGTTGGTGGTTTTGGGTTTCTTTGTTTAATTCTAGAAAGGTATGTGTGATAAATTTGGTACTAAGGTTAAAAAGTCAGTGTGTTCAAGGTTGAGGGAATGCCAGCAGTAGGCTTTCCTCTACAATTTTTATTCAAACCTCTGATCTGTGCATTCTTTTACATCACGTAATTATATACTGCTTCTTTCCACAATATCCCACTTGCATTGGGAAAATATGGAAGCCCTTGGAAGCAATCACGTGCTGCTGACAGCTGTGGTAGAAACAACCAACTGGAAACTACTGCTTAGCTTTAGAGAACAGAGTTGAGGGTGCAGTTTGCAAGTCCTGGGACTCTTAACCAAGTAAAAAAGCAATCTTTCATAGTATCTTGTTAAGTAATGGCTCTTCAGTCTGCAATTAGAAGTAGTGGCAATTTGTGTTTTGTTTTCTTGGAGCACTGGCAAATCTCGTAGGAGACTTTTCTCCTGACTTTTAAAATATTGTTTAAAAGATCAGCCTAAGTTGTTGTCTAGCCCAATTTTATTGTTCTTACAGCTTAGATTCCTGAGCATTGTTCTGAGTGTTTTTGATACAGACTGCAGCTGAAAGAGGACTGTTGTACAGAAGATATTAGGGGACCTTTGAAATGTTCCCTGTAAAGGAGCTGTATACCATCATTTGTGTAGCATCATTTGTCACTAGCTTAGGTGGTGAATAACTAATTTCTCATGGTGAATGCACACAGCATTTTTATGGGGTGCAGGTCTATGCGGGTTGTGATCCATTGGAAGAAGTCAATACCCTGTAATTATATCAGTATTCTCCTGACGGATGCAAAGTTGATGGTGCTTCAGTATGCTCTCTGTATTCTGCCTAATAAATTTGTATGCCATACAACATCTGTTGAATAGTAGTGTCTGCAGCCTGTTGGCACTTCTTTTTCTGGGTAGCCTGCCCTCCAGTATTGCTTGAGTGCTTCGCTTTGTTGCCCATTCTGATATTACTGTGTTTTTTCTTTTTGATACAAATGATGATGTTAAAAATATACATGAGGGCCTAGAATTATCCTTAAAATGTGTATCAGAGCTATAAAAGCACTTTTACTGTCCTTTCTGCTTATTTTTTTTCACATCCCCATGTGCTGAAGGCATTTCAGGCTCTTTGTGAGATGAACTCCTTGTCTGAAAGAAGTACTGTTAATGCACCAGAGAGGGATGGATGGCAGGGGTCTGTAAAAAGTAGTGCGATTGCTTTGATGGGGTTTGGTCAATCACAAAGTCTTGATGTTGTTACCTTTTTTGCAGCTCACTTATTTGAGAAAAGGATCTGTGTGTCCAGGAAGGAAGCTGATGACAGCTTTAGAAGGAATTATACAGGGTAGTAATAGAGTTTTAGAAAGAAGGTAAACTCTGCAAACTGGCATAGAGGAGATTTTGGGGTTACAGGAGTGTAAGGGGCCAAGAGGGTTTGAACTAGTTTGTTCCATACTCAGATTTTGTGGAGAGGGTGACAGCAGCACGATGCAGGGTACGTGTTTACATTTTCATTTTTAAGATTTGTTCTCTTGTATTTATAGGATCTGCAGCTAGAATATGGTCATGGTCCTCAGGGTGGCTACTTCTTGGGTGCAAATAAGTAAGTAAGCAATGGCATTTTATTGTCTCATACTCCCTTGAGGCTGTTAGAATACTATTCACATATGTTTAAATGCATCAGCTGTAACTGATGTAGTAAAATGTCGTGCCTGTTCATATCAATTACAATTCCAAAGTAACTCTTTATTTCTATAGTAACAGTAGTTACAGTGATAAAGAATTACAGCACTTTTCAGTGTTTGAGGCTATGTTGCTCATACTGCCTCTGTGGTGCTATGAGCTGTAATCTCGGTCTGCTAGTTAACAGAACAGTAGTTGCCGTGGAGCACAATTTTACCCCATCTTGTAGCTCCTCCTAACAGTTGCGCTGTGAACTCCTTGTTCATGTTACAGAGCTAGGAATATTCAGTAAAATTTACCTTTTTCAAAGTCCTTTAACTTCAAAGGTTTAATAATTTTTTCATGTTTGTCAAATGAAATAGTTTTCAATGTAATCATTCCTAGTTTCTTAATTTCCATCTGTGTGTGCCAGAATTAGGATGCCTAACTTTGCATTGCTAAATGAAATCATATTTTAAAAATGCATACAATCTAAGCATAGAGCATGATGTTTTACAAAATCTTTTAGATTGGAAAATCTGAATACCGTAATCTTCCGTCATTTTGTTGCTTCCTAGCCCTGTATTTTGCCTGCTGTTCCTCTGTGTTTCCAAAGTCACAAAAATGAAGTTCAGAAAGTTAGAAAAATTAATTAGGGTAATATAGATTTATTCTGGTAGTATTTTAATGCTCATGCACTCTAGCTTTTCTTTATTGTTACTGATTTTCTTAGCATGGTTTTCTTTTAAATTGGATCAAGCTAAAACTCTCCTTGCTTTCCATTATACAGATAACAATGAACACTGCATTTAATAGCAGTGCATTAATAAATGCAGGTGGAAGTGTGTTGTGTAACTTTGAAAAATGCAGCTCTGTTTGATTGATGTTCTGAAAGCCAGCTAAAATAACATGTTTGGGGTTAATTACTGTCAAAATCATAGGAGCATTTGCCATGGCTTTTGATAATTAAGTTTGTGTGCCATAATTAAACTGTCTTCTTATTCTTGTTTACGCTGAAGGAGTCTCTTAAAATCAGTTGAAGAGGAACTGCATCAGCGGTAATTCTGTTTTTCTTTCCTCTTGTGTGTTTCGCTCATTTGCTCTTTGATTTCTTATGTCTGTCACAAATTCTTGTTTGATTCTGTACATGCTGAGAAGATATGGGAGAGGCTTAGTTGTCTGGATTGCAGCTATGCTTTAAATAATAATGTAATAACTAATAATAGTAACAAAAGGTAAAAGGGAATCAAGATCTGTAAAAGGGGTTGTAGCCCTTAGGCTCAGAATTTTACTCAGTAGCCAAAGACATTTTATTAAAATTGACTCAGCCATAGTACTTTGTTCATTTTTGCAGGGGACATGTGGCGCATTTAGAAGATGATGATGATGATGCAGATGATGATGCTAAACAGTAAGTAACTTTTTCTTCTTGTAAAAAAGTCTGTGTGTATATGTGTGTTTGCGTGTGTTCAAAGCCTGATTTTTGAATTGATGAAAATGAAGCTGAATTGAATAAGATTCATAAGATGCATGTTTAATGTAGTTTCTAGATTACATCTCCAGAATTTTGCTTTTTGTGCTGATGAACTTGTGGTAAATTAGGGGGGGGAAATGTTCCTCATTTGATACAGTTGTCCTTTTGTTTTCTGTTTTTGAACAAAATCTCAGTATACTTCTGTTGAACCATGAAGTTGTCTGACCTCTGTCCTGGTGTCATTAGAAATGAGAACTGTATTAAAAGCTCATGAAAATACATAAGCAGTATGTATAACCAGGACTGAGTTTATTCTGTGAATATTCTCAGCCAAGAGTCTTCTGGGACAGGGAGAACAGGCTTATGTGACTGCAAAGGCAGTGTCAGTAGGTATGTGCTAAAATAATAATGCTTATATTAAATTCCACTGGTAGAAGTATTTTGGAGCCTTTTCTGTTGACAGATAAAAGCCAAAACAATTTAAAGTACACAGACAGTATGTGGAAATTTACATTCCTAAGTAAATCCAGTGTAAAGACAGAAAAGAAAGTTGCCCTTGAGGCAGATTTCTTGCTTACTTTCCTGTTAATGGATAATTTTGAAAACTGTTGTTTCATGCCAGAAACCTGTAAAACATGCATTATCTATCAATGGAATGTTTACTCATTTATGGAGAAATAAATAACTATTACTTTTCTTGAGTTGTTGTACTTGTTTCCTTGTAACACAGGTGGGGCTTTTTTCGTTTCAGCGTGTGTTAGGGACAGCCCTCTTCAGGAGGGGTGAGGCTGAGCTTTGTAGTGTCTGGTGTCAGCTAGGTGACAGGGCATGCAACTTGCTTTGATTAATGATCAGCTTCTCAAAGCACAAGTATGTTTGCTATTTGATGCAAGTGACATTTACAGAAGAAAAATGATCCTTAGTTTTTAGCAGGCTTTACTCCTTGAGAAATTCTTGCTATTTCATTAAGTTGTTGTCTAAAGACATGGTCATTTACAATATGATCAACCAAGTGTTATCGTGAAGGGGAAGAGAGTGATAACACTACTCACTGGTCTGTTCACATAGTTTGAACTGAGCTAAGAATCTGCTTTGCTCATAGCTGCATAGGCCTTGATTATGGTAAGTCAGGTTTCCTTCACTGCGGAAAGAAACGGCCCTCTATAGGTCCATACTGCTAGCTGTGTTCTAATCTTTGCTGAAGAATCTCTGGATATCTGCACTGCTGCAAGCCATTTTGACTTGGTTCTTCCATCTGTATTAATCTCTAGATGTTTTTTGTATACAGCTCTCTCTTTGTTTTAATTTTTCCTTTTCTAGCTCTGTTTGCAGTTAGTATCATCTACTTCAGTAATGGTTCGTGACTTGGAACCTCTTGATTCCTACTGTTTTGACATTCTTGCACTGATCGCTTCGTCCTTTCACAAGCTGTGTCAGAACTTTGACCTACAGCATTGGCTTTAGGTGCTTTTGTGAACTGTCGTGTTTCTGTGAGTTTTCTTGTTCAGGTTAAACAAGAAAGCACCTCAGAGCTTCCAGAGAGATTCCAATTTGTTTGACCCTAAGCACAGTCACAGCTGGTGTTCTGAAAACATCCTGGGGATTTTGCTTCTTTCTCATACTTCATCCCCACAGCAAACATCTTAGGAGTTTCTGCTCTTTTTTACCTGCTTGAGCCTGAAGCTCTGCTGTGGCAAGCTGGAATGTTAGCTCAGTCTCTGGATAGATTTTTCTGGAGCCCACTGAGATTCAAGGCTCTTGTTTGATTTATATTCTGTGAGACGGAGCTGCAATTGAAGAGCATATGTGACATCAATCGCTTCTTCCCTCAGATGCAGAACACACACAATGAAGCAGCTGTCCCCCTGCCACTCCAAACTGATGCCACTGCATGACTCAAAACCGGGTGATTCATAGCAGCAGAGAATCCACACACCTCAGAGAATAATATAAAATCATCTTTCTTCATTTAAATGTTTATATATACAAAATATATATATATATTTTTTTTTTGCACATGCAGCAAACTTGATGATGTTGGAACTTCTGCTAATGGAAGTTGGGAAGGCAGAAATTACTGGGGCAGTGTCCTGCATGTCCAGCAGTGACAAAGTGCACATAAGCCTTGCTGTTGAAACTAGGGCACACCGTCCTTTGTACAAACATCTGTCATACTTCTGCCTAAGCATTGACTTTTTTTTTTTAACACTTCACTGCCGAGTGATACTGATGGCTGTCTGAAATGCAGGGAACAATATGAAGGAAATTGAATGAAGCTTGGACTCGCATAACTCTGAGAACTTAAGCATGGTCCCCTGTTCTGAGAAAAGATAATTGCCACCATGGTTGTGACTGAAGTACTCCACACTGGGTAACCATTCTCAGAAATTACTTCCAGCTTCTCTAAAATACTAGCAACTGATAAGGTGCTTGAAAAGAAACTCTTAAGAATGATGTGAAGCAGGCAAGTTGTTGAGTTGTAAACAAGCAAACAGATATCTTGCTACTTCAGTTCTCTCCCAAAACTATGGAACATAGTTTTATTTAAAAAAAAAAAAAAAGGCAGAGCAGTTGTGCAAGAATGTCAAGCTTTCACGGCTATGTTTCTGATTTATTTAATGGAAATAATCCTCTGTTCCAAAAGAAACAGTACAGTGCAAGAATTTATGAAAACATCAAAATTTTAGGAAATTAAGAAAAATGCTGCATATTTTTTAAACCACAAAGCCAACAGGAATAATGTGTCTGATGCTTCAGCTTTCTTGTTTCTTGCTGATAGTTTGTTTGTAGCCAAGTCGTTAAGTTAAAAAATTGTCTTCCTCAGAAGATTGCTATAGTGAAAAAGAAACTCGTGAAAGGAGGGAAAAAAAGTGAGAGTAGGTTAGCTGTACACTGCAGACTTTGCTTTCGTGTGTGAAGTTGTTCTGAAGAAGTTTGCATTGAATTTTCCATGGGATGTTATCAATCATATTTAACTTTGTTCTGCATTATGTATTTGCAAGTGGCCCTGTGGGAAACCTTGCTTATTCCCTAAGCCTTTCTCCTCAGCGGAAGAAACACCAGGCCTGCTTTGTATTTCCTTGGTTTTTTTTTTTGTTTTTTTTTTTTTGCATGAGTGTGTCTATCTTTAACAAATCAGTTTGTCATTTATGCTTTCGAGGGAGAATCTGTGATACCTGAGTTTTCTGATAGTACCTGTGGTGTGCAGAGTGTAAGGGAAGTGCTTGGAGGTATTCAAGTATGATGTGGTTCTTTTGACAGAATAGTGCTGTTGTCAAGTTAATGGTGTTTGTATAAAAGTTATTTGTGTAGAACTCATGAAATTCTGTGCCTTCTTGAACAATGCAATATGAGATTCCAAAAACTATATTGGACAGCAGTCTATCCTGTTTCTTTACAGTGCCACTATGAAACCTAAAGTGCCACCTCCCTTACCACCAAAGGTAAGTGAGGGCGGCTTTGTTGCGTAGAAAAAAGGAATGCCTTTAAAATAAGTAAGTGTAGAAATGTCTATGTGAATATGCTGACTTTTCTCTCAGTTGAACCATGACTTGGGGACTTTAATCAAGTTTTAAGTCGACGTTATGTTTCCAGAGGTATTGACCCCTGTGTTTGTAGCCTGGTAAGTTTGCAGCAAGTCTTGCACTGCTCAGGGAATGAGTGGTGATACTTAGAGGTATGCTTCGAGTAAGTTTTATGTGTGACCTCTTGAAGAGTAACTGAATCTTCTCACACTGGCATTATCCAAATACAAGCAAAATGAAGAAGCAAAACAATTTATATATTTATTTGTCAGATAGCTGCTTGTTTGCAAGGCAAAAACTGAAGGTGTGATTCCTCACTGTCTTGTACTGTCTGTCTGCGTAACTAAGAAGGATTTTACAAGCAGCTTCAGTGCACCCAGTGACTAAACAATGACCTCTTTTGTGACTCCCTTTCCTATTTGTGATTCTTAAACAAAGTCGTATCGTTAAATATTTTTTGTTTCATACTTGCTAGTTTGGTTATCTGTAGTCATGAACAGTGACTCTTCTGTATATTGAATAATCTTTTAATGCATTACTTGATTTGTCTGCTGTCGGTTATAAGATTTTTCTTCATTTCTATCAAGTTTTTTCTAGCATGGATTTTTTTAAATAACTTTCATGGCAGAATCCTGCTTTATCAATTTATTTGTGAAAATTTCTCATTGAGATGCAGCATACGTGCTTTGAGTCTTTTTTCAATAAGTGTTTATCATTACTTTGTCTTTTCAGCCTAAATCCATCTTTATCCCTCAAGAAACTCATTCTTCTGAAAATGATAATCAAGGGACAATCAAGAGATGCCCAGCATCAGACAGTCCAGCAAAGTCTGCATCTCATGTTCCACCAAGACCACCGCCGCCGCGGTTACCTCCACAGAAGTCTCATGTTTTAGGTGAGAGTGATGCCAAGAAGTGTACAGGTATTTCTTAAATAATCTGGCATAATTATTTCTACATCTGTGTGGACATTAGATGCTGGTTTTAATTTTTTTGTAGTGGATGCGTTAGAACTAAGAAGCAATAAGGAAGCACATTAAAACACATTTAAGATCAAATGTACCTTGCAATGAAGCTGTTGACAAAGACTGCTAGCTCTTCCTCTTTACATCTTTACTGTTGCATGTGCTGAGAAATGCTGGTGAGGGGGCTGGAGCACAAGTCTTACGAGGAGCGGCTGAGGGAGTCGCTGAGTTTAGTCTGGAGAAGAGGAGGCTCAGGGGAGACCTCATTGCACTCTGCAACTTCCTGAAGGGAGGTTGTGGTGAAGAGGGGTTTTGGCCTCTTCTTCCAGGCAACAAACGCGACCCAGGGAAATGGCTGCAAGTTGTACCAGAGGAGGTTTAGGTTAGACATGAGAAGAAACTTTTTCTCTCAGAGAGTGGTCAGGCACTGGAATGGCTGCCCAGGGAGGTGGTGGAGTCGCCATCCCTGGCAGTGTTCAAGAGGCGTCTGGATGAGGCGCTGCAAGATACAGTTTAGTAGCTTGTGGTAGCAGTGGTAATGGGAAGACAGTTGGTCTAGATGATCTTATAGGTCGTTTCCAACCTTGTGATTCTGTGATTGTATGGTTCTATGAAATGCCTCGTGGCTTATTAAGAATTGATAATTGAATACTTATCCATAACCAGGCTGCTCTTTAGATTTATTAAATACTTTTTTCCCATTAACCGTGACTGCATCTCTTTCTCTGCCCATGGTGGATTTGTTGCACTAATAGCAAAAATGTGGGCTTTGATTATACCTGGCATTAAGAATGGTTTATGTGTGCGTATTTTGGAACAAATATGCTTTAGAAATACAGTGTTCTGGCATCATTTGAAACAAGGCAGCCAAAAATTGTACTCTTTGAATTGAAAGTAGAAGAACATATTCTTAAATGTGAATCTTTTTAGGTAATGGAATCACTTCTGTACAATTAAACGGCGAAAGAGAGGGATCACCACATCAACAGAATGAAGCTAGAGACACTAGTTTTTCAAGGAAAGAAAAGAAAGAAATACTGGTAGGTGTTAAAGCTTCTAGATGTTCTTTTAATAGTGTCTTAACTGTCTTTTGCACGTTTATAGCATACTTTTTAGAATAGGAATAGTACTGAATGGCATCTTGTTTACATGATTCAGAGCATGTTACTGCTGGATCATCTACTTGTGATACACTTTGAGTCCATATTTAGCAGTCATTAAAAACTAAATAGTCATGGATATACAAGATTTACTTATTTGTATCCAGGTATTTGAGAGACATATGATAAGAGAGCTGCAAGAGATATGTAATACGGCATGCTGAGCAATAACTATGTAAACAAATGGGGAAATTATGGAATGTGCTGCCACCTCGTGTCTTGCTGGGGAATTCGAGTGATCCTAAAAAGGAGCTGCATTTGTATTGTTCCCAAATGAGTTGTGCTTCTATCACAGTGTAGGTATACAGTGTTTTTGATGGTCAGGGTGAAAAAGAGATGGGGAACTTGGATTTGAAGAGGCCCAGATATTTGAACTCCTTGCCTGTTAGTGTCCAGAGCATCAGGTTTCAGGGCTTAATAGCTTGAGTGCAGTGTCAGACTTGAGTCAGGCATGCTAATGTTAAGTTGTACTCATGGAGAAAATGCAGTTTTTATACCATCTGATGCAGCTGTGCCCTGATTAAAAGGAATAATCCTGCATTACTTTCTCTTCTTCCAAGTGAGCTTCTCCCTTGAAGCAGCAAATGCCTTCTAGCGCAGATGCCTTGAGGAGTGGCAGTGGGAGTGTGGGATAAAATGGGGTGGGAAGCCTGATCAATTTTCAGTGTTGGAGGGGCTATTCGTGGCTTCTTCCAAGGATGAGTTGGAGATGCAGTGCTTTTGCAAGAAGTAAACAGGAAATAAAGGGTGGAAGCATAGTGAGCATTTTTGGTTTGTTTTAAAGAAGTGCCAGTAGTGGTGGTGATACTTTGGAAAGTATAGTTTCCTGAACTGTTTGAGCTTGGCGTTTGAAATTGTATGTTTGAGGCTTCCTGTGTACCTGTAAGAATACTTATCTCCGGTGGTGTGCTGTTCCTAGGTGAAATTGGTATTAACAGTGGAAAGATTAGTAGTTTTTTGATAGTTTTACATTGGTAGTTGAGCTACTGCTGCAAAGTTGCTTAAAGTTTGTGTTACTGGATATGGCATTCTTTCAAACAAAAATGAGAGAACAGTGTGTAACAAGATGCAGGTGTTCAAGGAGGAGAATACTAAGGAATCACAGAGGTTTTAACAAAGGAAAACGATGCTAGTAGTTTGTGGTCTGTAGTCACTAGGGAGTAGAAATAGGGAAGTTTGGGTTGGAAAGGAGAATCTCTGCTCAAAATGGGACTGTAGCCCATCTGATACATGACAGCAAACACAGCAGAGCATCCCTGTAGGTACCTCATGCCTTCCATTTAGTTGGTGTAGAAATATGCAGTGCAACTCTGTTGTCTAAAAAATCTGCAGGGAGGGTTTCTATCTGTCTTAGGTACAAGTACTGGCTTTTCATTTTCTCCTAATAAAATTATGATTGATTATTTATCAACCTGCTTTTAACAGCAGTATAATTTTTTATTTTTCTTTTTGATTTTGCTGTAGTGTCAGAGAGAATAAGCATGTCTGTGCATATGTGCTTTTGTGAGTATAAATGTAATCTTTTAACTTTCATTTTCTAGAAACCAATTAGTAATGGCCTTCCTCCCACACCTAAAGTACATGTGAGTATTACTGAGTCACGTAAATGCATGTTTAAGGGAGAACATGTTTTCTTAATAAAGCTGAGGAAGCATACTTTCTGAATTGCTTGTTGTATTTAAAATAACAGTAATAAAGTATAAAAGTATCTCTTGGAAATGTTAACCTGTAAGTGTACGGAGTAAGAAAGTCACACTTGATCTCCTGCTAAGTGAATTTTGAAGGTCTTTTAGTTTGTTTCCATCATTAGAATGTAAATGAGAGTTCTGTGATCATAAATTAATTTCAAGTTCACTGAAGGTGCTTGTTGATCAGTCTTTCCCTGTAGGATCTGAGGAGCTGATGCCTCTCAGGAATTGCAAATGACACTAAGTTTATACTGTGCAACTGTAGATTTCAGAACTTCTGAACACTGTATTCACAGATGGCTTAGGGCTGGAAATAACTTGTTATGGTCCTCTGTGTGCATCTTCGTAATCTAAAGCAAACTGGATTTTCATTTTATGTAGGTTGTTTTGAAAGTAATGCCTCCTATTTATCCCCATTTATGCCCCCCTTATCCCCAAACTTCAACAGCTACAGAGAGTGCAGTAACACTATTTAATACAGCAAAGTCAACGTTATTAGTTGTGCAGTTTCACAATGAACAAGAGCCTGCATGCTGCACATGTGGAAAAATAAAGTCTGTGCCAGCAGTGGTGACCCATTGTTGCCACTGCTGAAATGGCACCACTCACCCCTCACTGTGCTCACATCCTCTGTTTGATCTCCATCTATGCTGAACAAGTGTAGATACTGTCAGTGAGTGCCATTTTTTCTGCACGGAGGAATTCAGTTCCTCACCTTTGCTCCATACACACTTCCATGTCAGGTGTCATTGGGTCAGACTGCCCCCCTCATGCCCGTCTGTCACATAGCAACAAAATGTAATGGGATATTGGTGGGAGGGTTCAGCCTCTACTGCCATACCACCAGGATACACTTCTGATGTTGTGATCCAGCATCACAACATAGTAGGCATTACTTTGGAGCAGCCCTTGTAATGTCTTTGTGAACTTGTAACTGTGCTTCTAATCAGAACTGCCATCAGAAGAGCTCTTATCTCCCTCTTACTTGACCATTTGTATCTGCCATGGCCTCTCTCATCCTTACATTCTAGAGTGTGCATTCATATAGTTGTCCTGGGAAACAAGTGGAGTATTAATGTGTTTAAAAGCTAACTTTTTTTGCTACATTACTCGTAAGTCAGATCAATCTTTCATCTTTAGATAAGAAAATAGAATTACTGCTAGGGATGCATAAGTGCAAATGATTTTTTTCTTCTTTTCTGCTTATTAAGCATTTTAGGAAGTGGGAAGGGTTGAGGCAGAAGTCCTGCTTATGTTTCTTAGAATTATCATCTCTTGTGTAAATGCATAGGCTTGATCCTGAGCTTCATATTCTTCATACATTTAGTATTGTTTTTTGAGGTCAGTTCTGTTTTAATAAACTAAATTTCTAAGTAAATGTGTGACATAGGTGTGCATACATATAATTAGTGGATGATAGCAGTTTGAAAGTACTCCTAGCATTAAGAAGAACCCTGTCATCATGGCAAAGGAGAAATAAGTTCAATTGGTAAATGGAATGAGAAAAAAGGTAGAAAATACTACTTCAAATTTTGAGCTATTGTTTGTGTTGAGGTCTTACTGTATGGACATGCCATCAGAGAATGACTGCCAGCTGCCCATCTAATAGAGCTAAAGAGACCAAAAGAATAGAAAAATTTCTGAAGTTGATCAAATAATTCCTTGTTACTGGACTGCTCTCTGCATATTTGTCATTTGCATGCCCATCTACCGCCTGTCTCCATCAGTTGCCAAATAATCAGTTGCAAATAAGTATGTTGCAGTATGTTGCTGCCCTCAAAAATAGCTGGATGTTCTGGGACTCTGTTTACAGTGGTATCTATGCATGGCTGTCTGTGTCTCTAGAGACTTGGTTCAAATTTCTTAATAACCTGCTCTGGTCGTGTGCTTTTTCCCTGCTATTTTAGGTGGCTTGCAGCTCAGGGGATACATCATATATCCTACCAATGAGAGGATGCCTTGCCTCCTGAAATTCCTTCCAGATTTAAATGCCTCTGTGGCAGCAGGCAGTTCAAGTTGCCTTGCTTCAACCTTTTATCTTGTGTTTTTGTTTCCCACTCCCCCCTAGCAACTCAGTTTAATATTTTGTTCTGTATGATTCTCAGCTGTATCCTTGGGATTTGTTTGATATTTGGAGATGATATCCTTAGGCTCTGTTTACCCTTTCAAAGCATTTGCAGCAGCATCTTGGCTCTGTAGGCTTCCCAGAGATGAGGGCTGAGAAAGGCCAGAGAAAAATTGTTGATTTCTTCTGATTTCAACCCCATTTTCTTCATCCATCTTTATACTGCAGAGCTCAGCTAGGTCTTAGCAGCAAGCATAGCCCTGCCTGCGCTGTGCAGCGTTTCTTTCCAGTGCTTGGAAGAGAAACAAGGAGAATTGCATAGTTGGTTACAGGAACAGCAGAAATACTTCTCTGTCTTTTTTTCCAGGAGATCACTGCCTCAGTTGTCATCTGAATTTTCAAAGTGTGCCTTCAGAGCCCTGCATGCTTGAGAGAGGGCTTCCATAGGATCCCTGTATTGCTTTCAATGATATCCCCCTCCAAATTCCTTGCTGCCAAGGGTTTAGACAGCATAAAGCTGTCAGTACATTGAGATCACTCTGTGTCAATATCTTCTCATATTCCTGCCTCATTATCTGTATCTTATCTCTTAGTTATTATTATGCCTTTGGAAGGTTCATCTTACTGTCTAGAAAGCAGTCATCTCCCTTCTTTCTGCTGAGACTTATTTAGTCATGCAGCAGCGCTGAAGTCTTTCCCCTTCTCTTTGTGCAGTGGGGTCTTCAACATTTTGCTGATCCCATTAATGAATTTCATTTTTCTCTTTTGGAAATAAATACAGACCAACTTGTGGCGTTCCTGATAGTGATGTGAGAGAGAGATGTGTAAAACACAAAGAAAGATCTCAGTTCTGCTTCTTTTAATGTGAAATGGTTAATTCTGAAATTGTTTTACACTAAACTGTGTTCAGAAGGGCCTGAAATTTGTGTTGACTTCATGTTTCAGCAGAAGGTTCACACAAAAAAATACCCAAATACTGATGTGGGAGCTATTTGCTAATACAGTTATAGGTCAATAATAATTCATAATGTTAATATAAAGTGAGGATACTGCCATTTCATAGCCCTTTACAGAGTATAGGAACCTTTGCATAAAGTTAATATCTGCTTGTATTTGGAACAGGAACACTTACGAATAAACCAAGTTTATTAAGATTATTCTGAAAAAGGACTGAAATCTTCTGCTAGAGATTTCCCTTCAGAAAGCAGTCAGTTCTGTAATTGTATCAGAGTAGTAAATTAAAGAGCTACTTCACAAATGCTATTTGTGGCATATTTGTTCAGAAGGGTCTTTAATCCATAACATAGCTCTTTAAAAAGCCAAATGAACAGCAAAATAAACCCAACCAAGTTGATTTGCAACCATGTTGTCTAAATGAGATTACTCTCCACCAGATGAGTCTATTCTTAACTTGTTACTACTTTTAAGTCAGAATAATTTCATTGAAAATGCCATGTTTTATTTTTATTTTACATATACATGTATATAATTATTTTTTCACAGATGGGCGCTTGCTTTTCAAAGGTTTTCAATGGCTGTCCATTAAAAATTCACTGTGCAACATCATGGATAAATCCAGATACAAGAGGTAGTATATTACATATCTTCTACCCAATTTTGTCCTCTCCTAGGATTTTCGTAGTGTTCAGATGAGCAGGACTACTCTCCTTAAAGTATCTTTTAATATTTATGTAGGCAGAAGTTCTTCTCTAATTATACCACTGCTGCCTCTCAAGTACAGTGTTTTCTTAAATTATATTAATGTATATGGGGCACAGTTTTCAGCTTTGATTAAAAAAGAATAAATTGCATGCTAAATAAAGGTAAATAAACGTATTTGATTATGATTCATGACTCTTTTCAACTCTGTAGTCCAAAAGATGCCACTCTTAATTTTATTTCTAAAAATCCAACTTCCCAAAGTCCTCCTTCAAATTGATTGCTTCTCTATCATTCTCTTGATGTATATATATTTTTCCCTACATCTTCCTGTTAGTACAAGTTTGAGATCTCTTCATTTTTACATATGTTTTATTAGTTTATTGAATAGCTTGACAGAAGTGAAAACTGGTAGCACTGTACTCATATTATCTTCAGTTTCATCTTGAGATTGTAGGCTGCTTAGACAGATACTGCTGAATCAATTAGCAAGAAAATATTTAGTTTTTTAGAAACAGAAGTTATGAAAGTCGGTCTTTGCAGCTGACATCTTCTCAATATGAGATCTTTGACTGTCCAAATGTAAACAAGGCCATTAATTAACTTCAGCTGCAATCACAGTAAACAGGTGAATCATACTCGAGAAGTGAGGCATAAATGAAGTACTGAAAAAGCCTTCCAGTCAATACTGTTGTTGACGTACTCCAAAAAAAATAGCCACGGAGGTGTCATGAAATATATGGAAATGTTTAAGTCAGAAATCTGTATATGTGAATTCTTGCTTATAGTTGTCTCACTGCTGTTTTTTCTTTCTAGTTAGACACAAAAAAAACCCCGAACTATTTTCATAAAGTCTTAGAACAACTTCATCCATAAATGTGTAAGCTTCCTTGGAAAGATTAATTTTCTGTGCTTTCAACATTATGACTATTATAGGTTGTCCTGTTTTCCTGTATGTAATTGTTTTAGGTCTGTTTTTAATAAAGCATTTGCAAAGAGTGCTCTTACTTAAAAGAAAAACAACAACAAAATAACACCCTCCTTCCTTAAGTCAATATTGCTGGAGTTTTTTTGTTTGTGTTTACAGATCAGTACTTGATATTTGGTGCAGAAGAAGGTATTTACACACTGAACCTCAATGAACTTCATGAAACATCAATGGAGCAGGTAATTTGTTTTGGCATCTTTGAAAAAACAATAACAGCCAAAACCAGCATTTCTGATACTTTTTAGCCACTGGTTAACCTGGTGTGTTGTTTCTAAGAATCCTTTTCACTGTAGTTACGTAGGCACTAGTATACTGAGTTCTACCTCCCTTGTTTACTACTGAGGATATGTTGCAATCATATATAATGTTTTTTTTTTTCTAGGTTGAACCATATTTAAGTAGGAGGTCTGCACATATTAATATGTTGAATTTCCTCATAGTGCATTATCTTGGAGTTAAATGATTTATTCAGTAGCATTGAATTTCCCTGATACAGTTGGTTTGAAAGTTTTTGTTTTCCTTGAAGTTGTGTTACAAAGTAGACTGTTTAAGCAAAGGTGGTGTTTTGGCTACAGGGAAGCGAGATCTGTACACTAAATTCCATTCTTTCAGTCTTAAAAGCAGCTTTGCTGATGAGACTCAAATTAATTGAACCCCAGTTTTAAAATAATGTCTTTGCAGATCTCATAAATAGTAATTTTTTTGGTGGGCACACTGGGGAGGGGGAAATGCCAATGGCAGGCTTTTCTATGTGGTGACTTCTCCAGCTCTTTTGTTAATTTCTAAGAGACTTGTTTTCTTTCCTGCCTTCTCCCTAACTTAGGGAGCTATGCATCTGCCATCGAGATGGAGGAATTTGCAAGGACAGCCTTCACACTGTAAGCTGGAGGCACTGGTGTTTGTTCATCTTCCAGGGTCCAGACTTTGTAGAGGTGTCTTTTGTGTGGGGAAGAAGGCCTAAATAGCTGGCACTGAGCTCCATGTAACCCATAGTTAACTTAGTTCAGGTACCTTGCTGTTGCTGAAGTTGTTAAATATACCCTGAGAAATATCACTAATACAGTAATCTCTGCAGGCCAAACAGACCTACAGAAGTTCTTGAAAAATGACAAGGAAAATAGATAAACTGAAGCTTATGCACTCATGTCTTTGTTTTCTATAAGTGCTGCATTCTGTTTTTCATTGTTAAGTGAGCCGTTAAGGAAGCATTTTAATAAAGTACTTAAACACAAAGAGGTGCTGGTCAAAACAGCCAGCTGTGTGTAAGTGGAGGAATGTGTTTCAACTCCATCAACCTGAATATTTCAAGTATTGCTGTTTTTTTCTCTAATTTTAAGATTCAAACATTCTCAGTCACAGTATGGAACGTCAGTCAAACTTGCAAATTAAATTTTGAATGTATCCAGACTGTTAGATTTTTTAGCATAGGTTTAGGTGTTTTATAGTGTGTTTAGGTTATGAAAAGACTTCAGGAATAGAAGTGCATCCCCTGTGCTACCCATTTCCTACATAAAATCATAGAACGGCTTAGGTTGGAGGGGACATTAAAAATAGCCTAGTTTCAACTTGCCTGCAATGGGCTGGTTGCCACAACCTAGCTTACATTGTACAGGGCCCCATCCAACCTGACCAGGAGCACCTCCAGGGATGGGGCACCACAGCTTCTCTGGGCAGCTGTGCCAGGGCCTCACCGCCCTCTGAGTGAAGAATTTCTTCTTAACATCTAACCTAAATCTCATTATTTATTATAACAACCAAAAGATTTCAACTCAAATAGTGTTTTTGAGTCCTCTTGCACTTACTATTTTCTCTCTAGGTCTAGCCAAAGTATTATTCTTGGTTATTTTCCACTTCATTTCATTCCACCGGCAGACGAAGCAGAAATAGGACGCATTTTCAGAAGTTAGCACAGCTTCAAGATGGTATTTTCCTTTCCTGCAGATAAAACTTTCAGTTAATTTACAGATCTCCTCAAATTTGTTGTCTTGTTGCTGTTATAAAGAGTGAAGGAAATGGCCTTCTAGGTGGTCTCTCTAATGCAATGGTCAGTGGCAGGAGGAAGTGCTTATGAGCTCTGCCACTGCCTGATAGCCACTCCCCTCAAGCTCCTTTGTGGTCATTGGATTAGACTTGTTGGAGGGTGCATCCCTGCCTGTTTGCCTTTGTATCCATTTATGGACCTGTTAGACGTGTTGATGCTGTCCGTTTCCATGATCAATTGTGGCAGGAAGCTCCAGAAGTTATATGAGAGGTGGGGAAAAAAGTATTTTTAATTTTTCTTTTTTCTTAAAGGATATTTTGGTAGTTGCAGTCCCTTCTTTCCAGTAATTGTCTAGTAATTTGACTAATAGCAGTTCTGCCTTGACCATTTGTTCCATTCTTTGATTACTTACAAGAAATATGTAATTACATGAAGATTAAAAAGTCATTTGAAGTGCCAGATTTAATTATTTTAAGACTTTGGAATACTACAGGCTCTTAGAATGGTGTTAGTTTTTATCACACTTATGTTGTTAAGTGTTTCTCCTCTGAAGGAGAAAGGCTGGTGGTTATTAAAATTTCTGGGAAAAAAATGGATTGATCTTTATAACGACACTTTGCAGGCTAATAGTACTATACTTGAAGACGTGGATATAAAATGTTCCAATTGTCTACATGTTAATCTGTATGTTAAATATAATGTGTGTGCCTAAGGTATACTTGACTTAACTCTGGAATCCAGGTAAATATTAATTGTCTTGAGCTAATTCTGTTACAAAGAGCAAGTCAATATTAGTTTTGTCCTGTTGTCTATGAAGACATTAATCAGTGTAATGTGTTTACATTTTCTGTAAATGAACTGAATGTTTGGTTTTCTTCCCTTTATTAGCTATTCCCTCGAAGGTGTACGTGGTTATATGTCATGAACAATTGCTTATTATCAATATCTGGTAAGTTACTCTGCCATCTTTGGGTGGTAGTGCAGGTATACATTTGTTTTCGTATTTGAAGTGTTTTTTTCTTATTTCCAGGTAAAGCTTCTCAGCTATATTCTCATAATCTGCCAGGACTCTTTGATTATGCAAGGCAAATGCAAAAGTTACCTGTTGCTATTCCAGCACATAAACTTCCTGACCGAATACTTCCCAGGTAAGTTCACCTCATCAGATAATATCTGATTGTAAGAATTCAGGGTATATGGTTGTGAAAGTCAGGGAATCCCAAACAATTTGGAGTTCTGTTCATGCATTTCCATAAGTAACTCATGTGGACATTAATCAGAATGTAGACCCTCCATATTTACGTGAATTGAGATGTGATTATATTCTTAACAAAGAAATGGGCTTTGCTACATTTCGCCTTGCTGTGAAGCCTCTAGTTTCTGGGCATAGCTCTTGGAAGCTATAGTCTAGTATGGCAAGCTGTCAAACAAAATCTTGGGTCAGTATTGTACCTGTGATATTTCAGGCAACTAGAAATAATGGTCTTAAATTAATTACTTGCATGTGTTCTTGGTGCTAGTTTTCTGTTCTATCAAAAAAAAAAAAAAAAAAAGTTAAATGGATTTCCCCAGCTTATCATCGGGGGGATTGTCAAGATGACCCTTACTGCAGAAGGAATGGGCTGACAGGCTATTCTGAAAGCTGGGCAAAATAGAACTGGAACATAGATTTATCTCACGTCATTGGCAAGTCATTTCTTGCAGGCCAGAGTGGAAGGTATTACAGGAGAATTTCTGTCCCCAGATGCTTACAGTGCATCATGCATGCAGTTCCTCTGACATTATTTACTAGCAAGAGCGTGCAAAATCCCATAGACTGGATGCAGTGCTGGCTGCCAAACAAGCCTTCAGAGCTTGTTCAAATCGAGGAGGGGATGGTAACTCTAGCCTAGTTTGCAAAGCAACTTGATTCTTAAAAGGCTTAGTGAATCATTGGATTTTCTTATTTGACAAGCTTTTTTGTTAGGAAATTGTTTTATAGCAGACCTGATTCTCATTTACCTTTGGTACTACTGCCAACTTGTTAACATTTCAGATCTGGGAGAGACTTTTTGTTCAGCCATCTGCAAGCATAGTGGTGCAACACTTATCTAAAAATTGTGTTCTTCCTAGAGGTTGAATTCTTAGAAATTTGTATTGAAATGTTTTTGTCTTTGTGTCTGCACAACAGTTCAGCTCCTTTGTCTTCCAAGCTAGCTTCATCTGGGTGGCTTTGGGCTGAGGATTGTAACAGCAGTAGACTGATAACCTTCATAATTACATGGGTCATGTTAGGAACAAATTCAGACCTTTTTCAATCTGAAACGATACCTCACCTAAGTTCCAGAAGGCTTGGAAAAATTTCCTGTTCGGTCTTGCTGCATCCTAAGAAAAATGCAGCATAACCTGAATGTACAAGTGCCAAGCTAGTCATTCAAAAGCAGGACAGATTCATTTAGATAATCTGTTTTGTTGCCTTATCCCTTAGCTGTAAGGCATCACAGTAGTAACATTAGCCAGGCAGACTACTAGAATTATCTTTGACTTACGCAGAAGAGCATAGTTTTTGTTCCTTACCAAACCACAAAGTATGTTCTGCAGCAAGATCTTAGTTACTATAGTGATGAGTACAATATAAAATAATGAAGGTGAATTAAAAACAGTTTCCTGCAGAGAAAATACAAAGCAAAATAAAATTTGAAGTTATTATGTAAGTTTCAGTATGGTCATCTGCCAAATGGTTGAAGCTCAGAATGATACTTGGTAGGCAAGCATTCAGAAACAGAAAATAAGTCTGTGGTAAATCTCCTGTCCAGCTTCCTTATTTTGAGTGTCCCTGAGTAGGTTCTTTTAAGCCTTTCTTGACTTCTCCCAGCCTAAACTTGTGACTAATACTATTTTTGTGCATCTCAGTCCTAGTATGTTATTAGTCATTTCTGGACAGCTTTGAAATACTGTACAAGTGTTTTCCTAGTTCGTAGTTTTGACTGCAGCATCAGTCTGTTGCTCCATTTATTCCCATCTTATCTGCACCATCTATCGAATGAGTAATTTTCACTTTTGAGGCTACTGTGGTCAACTTTCATACAGTTTGTTGTCACCTAGTCTGTTTAGAGGCATTGACTCCCATTTCCAGCAAAGAGCACCGTCTCCCTTGCTTATTTAATAATTTTTCAAGCAATTATTCTCACGATTTCTCAGGGAATGTTCCTGCACAGGAAATGAAATCTTGCAAAACTGCCTTCCTGTCCTCCTTCAGATCTTCTCTTGAAGTTCATGCTGCTCTGCCTACAAAAAGCTTTGAAAAACTTAAGGTGTTAGTTTGCAGGTGGCTCATAGCTATTACTAGTATGCCCTTATTTCCCTTGTCTTTGCTGTAACAGGTTACAGATTGTTTTCTAACTGCATTCATAATGCTGCATAACTCAGCACATCTCAGTGCTTGACGAGAGATAATCTTGTGTGTTCTAAGCATGTTGCTCTGAGAAGAGAGAAACAAATACATGTTTTGTTTTTCTGATGGACAAATATAATTTTCACAGCAGCAACTTTCTGAAAGGAAATTCAGTTACTTTAGTTGATTGATTGATAGTTCTGTGTTTATCTTGCAGGAAATTTGCTGTATCTACAAAAATTCCTGAGACGAAATGGTGTCAAAAATGTTGTGTCGGTAAGTAAAGATCTGCAGAATAAGCTCTGATAAGCAGTACAAATGGAGCAATAGTAAGACTTGTTACTTTTCGGAGAAGAGGCTTTTCAGTAATTATTGTGGAGCTTTGCATCTGCAGACGGTGAACTCATTCACATTAGTCTTTTGCATTTAGGCAGTGAAAACTTCCCCATTTCTCTCTTAGTTTTTAAAGATAAAGACAGTTCTCAAGAAAATGCGAGGAAGCAGAGTGCACCAAATTTAAGCCAGCCCCCAGGATGAAACTAATCTCCATGGATAGAGTGTGACCTTTTTAAAATATGTTATCAGGTTAAGTAGCCCGATTTCCTAGCAGAAGTTCCAATTATTAATACTGGATGCTGAAAACAGAGTGTTTTTGAATCTTTGAGGATGATCTCTGAAGTATTTATAATATCTTCAGAGTGCCAACTGCCTAAAACTTAAATACGTAATCTGTTAAGAAGTGTTTTGAAAGGGAGAAATGACACTGGGAGATCATTCCGAGTTATAAGTTCCACGATCAGTTCTTTGATATAAGGAATTATACAGGAAGTTTTGAGTGGTAAGTGAGCGTCTGTCACCCTGATGAAAAACGAAAATCTCCCTAATTTTGCTAAGAAATTTCTTACCTATGTTATCACTTCTGCGCCCAGTTTGCCTGTTAAAACTTGACTTTTTCTGGGATACAAATCCTCTAGGGTGTGGTAGGGTGTTAACATTGTGTACTATGTTCATCCAGGCCTTGCCTTAGCTGAGGAGTCTGGTCTATCTGTGAATGTTAATGGATGCTGAAAGAAAACTCCCAGCCTCTCCCTCCTCAGTGTTCTGGATGTAATCTAGGGGTGTGGAATGACAAAAGGCAGATCTAAGGGGAGAGGTGACAGATCCCCCGCCCTTGGGCCCTGCTTACTATGTGCAGCCTGGGTCACATTGCTGCGGGCGGTGTATGTGATGATCTCTTTGGCCTAGGGAAATCAGCAGGGCCGTAGGAGGCAGAAAAAGACCAGAAGTTCTGGTCTTCTTTCTCTTGTTTACAGGTGTTGGTAATTGCTTTTTCTGTGGTTTCTGCTGCTGAGTTCAGCCTTACTGAGGGTCATGGCAAGTGCAACTTGTATTTTGCAGTTGGCTTGACTGGTAGCAAATGAGAACTTGGATTAATGAAACAGAGTTTTGATGTTTCAGATGCCAGTGGATTGCTAGTGGATTTTCGTGACAGTGGGGTAGCAAGAGTATGATTTGTCATGTATGTAGATCATTCTGGGTTAGGGGCTTATTACTTGATCTTTGTTGTTAATTACCTGGTGGCTGATGGTTAGTTTGCTGCAGTTTAAGATCTGATCTTCAGATAGGTTGCTCTGAAAGTAATGGTTCCTATTTATTTCCTTGGAAATGACTGCAGATACAAAGAGTGCAACAATGCTATTTGATAGAGCAAATTCTCAGCTACAAAATACCACTAGCTATGCTTTTTTGTCAGCAGTGAACCTATGTGCCACGCTTGTACAAATCTGCACCAGCAGATGTGATCTGCTGTTGCCACTGCTGAAACACACCACACACTGCCTCACTGTGCTCACATCCATTGTGTGGTCTCCATCAGTACTTAACAAGTGTTGAATGTCCACTGGACGCCATTTCCTCTCCGTGGAGGAATTCACTTCCACGCCTTTACTTCATGTGCACCTCTGTGTCAGATGCAATTTTGTCAGGCTGCCCCTCTGCTGCCATCTGTCATGCAGCAACAAAATGTAATGGGATATTTGTGGGAAGGTTCAACCTCTACTGTCGTACCACCGACTTCTGCCTCTAATGTGGTGGGCCAGTGTAATGAAATAGGAGGCATTACTTTTGGAACAGCCCCTGTACTACTTAAGCGATGCCTGCATATACATTAAGGAGCGAAATTTTGTCATTAATGTAGAATCAAATTTATTTCATGGTGCTCAGTTTTTCAACTTTATCAACCTCTTCCATTTTTTAACTGAGCTCTGATAAAAATAGGAAGTTCAGTTGAGTGGAAATGGTGTGTCACTTGAAAACTGGATTTCATGCTGACCTGCAAGTGCTTATCAGAAATACAGTGCTTGGATTTCAGACTTGCCATTATGGTATTTAAAAAACACCTGAGCAGTTCTCAAACAGCAGTGACTATTCAATTCCTAGTGTCTGTGTCTTATAGAAAAAAACTGTTCCTTAACAGCTTCTCATGGTAATTTGGAGATAATTTAGGCAAATCAACATGCTGGAGCAAGATGCTTAAAGCATGCATGTGTGCACCTTTACTATTAATACTGTTATTATTATTTAGCCTGTCTAAAATAGTAAATCCTGTCTACAAGTTCAAGAATCAGCACTCAGTTTTGAGTTGAAGATGTCAAACACGCCACAGTTCTCTTGGTGAGAGTCAAAGTTTTTGTGGCTTATTTTGCACAAGCTGCTAGTTTGTTACACTCAGTAGAAAGGCAAGCCCTGCTCAAGCATGCTTGTTGCTGCCATTCTCCAAATGTGAATGTTGACTTTTCAGCAGCTTCCTTTTAGGAAAGCTTAGAGTGGGATAGGAAGGGTAATTTTCCAGAAATATGTGAAGTGTTATTTAGTTGAAAATCGTATATAATTTGCATTTGCTTACTGTACTAATGTATATTACCTCTTCTTCTCTGACAGTGAGAAATCCCTACACAGGCCACAAGTACCTTTGTGGAGCACTACAGTCTAGTATTGTTTTGTTAGAATGGGTTGAACCAATGCAAAAATTCATGTTAATCAAGGTAATGTAATAAGATGAAATTCCCTGACGTTTGATTCTGGTTATCTTGTAATGGTTAACTATTAGCTGTTTATTGTATTATTAAAAAACAGAACAATTTAGTTATTACTAGGCATACACTTGTTTCTGTTAAATTACGTTGAAGTTAATTACTCAAGTGTCTGCAATTGATATTTACAGACTTTAAAAATATATGAATGTTTTGGGGTTCTTTTTAAGTATGCCTCAGTAGAAGAACAACGTTCTTCTCTGTATGAGCATTGTCAGTTAGATAAATGTTAAAAAAAACTCTGGTCTTCAGACTGAGGCAAGGCCAAATGGAGAAATAACAGTTAAGAGTGCACTTGCTCCCAGGCTGGAGAGAAGGTAGCCAATTGTTCAGTGCTTTGTGACCCTCCAGGTGCCCAGAAATGCTTGTTTTTCTCCCTATCTGACACTATCAGAAAAGGTGGAACCAAGGTGGACATGTGTTTGCAGAGAGGCAGCTGCTATGACTTGATTGGCCTGGGAAGCTCTAGAGCTTAGAGACTCCATGGCCAGGGAGAGCAATCCTGGGTATAGCACTCCTGTTCTCTGCGAGCCGCTGCACAGAGCTCGCGTGATGAAAGACATTCAGTCTGTTTTAACTAAATCAGCACAAGGACTTTCTAATCTTCTCAACTCAGGCTTTCTGTATCTATCAGTTACTGTTATGTGAAGAAGTAAGTCTACAAGATAACATTTATGATACAGTTTAAGTAGCTAATAGTAACTCCGACTTGTTTCCGTTCTAATATATGTTTTTGTTTCTTAATCTAGCACATAGATTTTCCTGTACCTTGTCCACTGAGATTGTTTGAAATGTTGGTAGTCCCCGAGCAGGAATTCCCTTTAGTTTGTGTTGGTGTCAGCAGAGGAAGAGACTTCAACCAGGTGGTGAAGTTTGAGACTGTCAACCCAAATTCTACCTCTTCATGGTTTACAGAAACAGGTTTGTGCATGCTGTTGTGATTACTTTCAGAAATGTTCCTTGCTCTATTTTAATTGAAGTACTAGAAAGGTACTTGCCTTTGACAAAACTAATGCTTAAATTATTAAAGTAAGTTTTTTGTTTAAAGGGGTCTTTGTACCTGCTTGCTTATGCATCCTTTGTACCTGCTTGCTTATGCATCCTTTTTTTTCCTTTTTTAATGCTTCTATAATTGAACTGATTGAATTACTGTTACGATCTCGAAGATGGAGTTGTAGTTTTTGCATTTTCATAAATAAGGCTGTGCTTGACTGTTACCCGCTGTGCCATTATGTGCTCTTCTCTGGCACTGTGATTTCTGTTTACTTTATGGATTTTAATTAGAACAACACTCTGAGTGATTTCTTTCAAAATCTTCGTAGGTGTGGTTTGGTTTTGTCATAATTAGCCAATCTGGTCAGAAATTGTGTTTCTGGCCTTCTGCTGAGGAGCAGCATGTTTCTGTTCAGGAATAAGAAAGAGTTAGGACCGCTGATAAGAGAAATCCAAGCACCTGTCCGTCACTACTCTGAGTGCTGTATGAGTGAGGAGGCCACACCATCTGAACTACAGTAGAAACTCTTGAAAAGGAAGTGTGCTAAGAATTATATTTCTAAAAGTTTGCAAAAATCTCTCTAAACCTAGGGACTGTAGTGAGCTGAGTCGTGGCTTGCAGGTACAGAAGCAGTAAATAACGTAGCTATTGCTAGGTGAAGAGTCTTTGTTGATCCATGGAGAATTTGCATATGCCAGCACAGGACAACATAGGCGTGTATGGCTAATTGTATCCTCTGGAATTCACTAAGGAGTGGTTTCCACTGGAAGGATGCCTGCTGACTTTCTTGCTGCTGAAAAGCTTAAAAATTTTTTACAGAAAGCAAAGTGATCAGCGGTTGGACAACTAATGCACTTATCGCTTGAGAGTTAGTGCCTTTTATTTTCAAACTTGTACATTCATTCTGTCTCTTCAGTAGAGTCAATAAAAGTAGCATGCCAAATAGAATTTCTTTGAACCATAACATCTTGTTGTCATTCTTTCAGTATATTGTCTGTCAGTATGTAAATATAAGAACAGTAATTCCTTCCCCATTTCTTTTCATTTTATTCACATGCATAATCTAACATTGCATTATTCTTTCCAAAAATACTTCTTTAGCCTTCTTGAATCATTTATGTGTTCCCTCCTTATGTCTGTTACTTTCTCTTATTTGTTTAACACTAATTTAAACTCTTGGTTACTTCTTGTCCTCTGCTGACAGAAGGCAATAACGCGATCAGATTTTTTTGTGTTTTTAAGCGAGGAGAGCATTTAACATGGTCAGACTTTGTTTGACATTTGACATTTTGTTTGTGAATGTCTGATGAAGACATGAAGGAAAAAAAAAAGTAGCTGTCGTTTATTGCAGGGGCTTGCTTTTTTCTTCCTTTTCCCTCCCTTTCCTGTTGGGTTCAGCCAGTGCAGCACGTGCTTCTACATCACATGATGTGGGTGTACAAATGTATGTCCTCCAGTCTTTCTGTTACATGCTTTCATCATGGCTATATCCAACTTTGGTTAAGGTTACACACTAGAAATGTGTTCAGTTGTTAATGTATACCTTCCAAAACAGCAGAATAAAAGATGGAGTGGCCATCTCAAGGAGCACACTCCTGACATCATCTGTGAGAGGGTTTTAGCTTCTCAACAGGACCATGGACTTTATTAGATACTTCAGATAACATGATGTAATTGCTCATCTCTAACAGATTTAATGAGTTTCTTTTTTTGCAAAAAAGAATGTGTACAGAATCACTGGCAGCAGTGCTGAGTTAATGAAAGCTGTCTTCTGTTTAATTGTAAACAGCGCTTCTTTTTGAGTTGACATGTCCACTGATCACTTGTGGGTCAGGTTTCCCTGTTTGCTATGATGGAGACTGCTGCAGCTTAACTCAGAAGGCAGGTTTGGAGAAGGAAATTATACTCCAATAATACCCCCCACCCCTTTTTTTTTTTTTAATATTTGTGGATAGAAAGTATAAAAATAGCAGCAAGAATTAAGTTCTAATATAAATGTCCCTAGCAAGATCGAGAAATAAAGGCAGAAGCAAAATGGACTGGAACATTGTTCAGGTTTAGTGTGGACAGTACCACATCATACATTTTTTGCAACAGCAATATTAAATGTGTCCTACGGAATAAAATAGGTGCACAAAATACAGTGTACACGTGAGCTTGTTTTTGCAATATGGCTCAGGAAAGACTAGATTAAGTCCATGCGTTAGTATTACAGCTTTAGTTTTCCTGTCACAATCAACAAGTTGGGTAAATGGACATGGCTCTCAAAGGGAAGAGAAATGTCACTGGTAAGATGATGGTTTTAAACAGATAAAATCACACTAACCCATTAAACTGTCTCAGTCTCTAGAAGTTCCATTTCAGATTTCATGGTAAGTTATTTTATGAACTAACACTATCATTTTTTTTTATAGACACTACAGAGACAAGTGTTGTGCATGTAACACAGCTGGAGAGAGATACCATTTTGGTGTGTTTGGATTGTAAGTTTGAATATCAGCTAAATATATATGTACATATACATGTTCATGCATACTGTATGTCTTCAAATTAGGTCATATTGAAGATTAACTGTTGGTGTATCCTATTTATTATCTAGGCTGCATAAAAATAGTGAATCTGCAAGGCAGGTTAAAATCCAGCCGCAAACTGTCATCAGAACTCACATTTGACTTTCAGATTGAATCAATAGGTAAGTCAGTGTTAATACTGAATATTTGATTAGCTTGTTTTCTCTTACAGCACAGAATTAGAAAGTCTTTTGGCATGTGAAACATTATCTTGAGCATTTCACTTTGTGTTGGGCGGTTTAGCATGTTACATAGCGTGCTTCCCCTGGAGCAATCCAAACAGAGTATTAACTCTGGAGTCTTCCCTTGTTAGGCTAAATGGTCTGCAAATGACGGAGACCTTCAGCCTCTAAAAGAAAACTTTAATACAACGTACTTAAACCCTGTGACTCACTCATGGCTAACTCATTCTGCATGTGTGTTCATGTAGTCCGTCTTCATAAAGCAGCTCAAAGACTAAATTGATACACATCACATGTCACATCAGTAACACCAGTTATTTTCTTGTAAAGAATCTCAATGAGTTAGGTTTGTGAGATATATAATACATCCATTTTGATAATTTTCCAGTGGTGACGTGGAAAACATTGCTTCTATGGTTCCTGTTAGTTAGGAACGAGGAGAGAGAAAGAGCAAGTGTACCTGAAGCTGCTCGCTGTTGGTACCTCTGCATGTGCTATAGTCCTGTTTCTGCTCATCACAAGTGAGCTACTGCTGTCCTTCTCAGTCCTTAAAAGCGTTTCTAAAGAGCTCTGCTCTGTTTCCTGTATCCCTGCCCTGATTCACAGAGGTAGGATGCTGGATGCAGGTGGGACAGATTATTCCACACTTACCCTCTCTGTGAGGAAGGCCCTTGATGGGCGTTTCCTTTCTGAAGATTTGAATGCAGGGGTCTGTAACATCATTCTGTTTGTATGACATGGGGAAGGGCCGGGAAGTAAAGGTTTCTGTAAAGCTTTGTATAGCTGTTGGATAAAGACCACATTAGCCAATAGTTGTGTGGTGGATTAAAAATATCACTGAAGTGATATTTTTAGAAGTTACTGCTGCAACTTTTTGGCTAAAATTTATTTTGTATTTTCAGCAAGTATTAGACTTGGGAGGGACTGTCTTTTGAGTGAGGACTGTTTTTAGGACAAAATCCTATGCAGAAAGTTGTTTTCCTAGTTGAGTGAGAATATTTTTAAACTCTCCTCTTTAAAGAAATAAATGCAGCTACTTCAGAGGCATGTTCAGTGATGCTTGTGAGATGTTTTGCAGTCTGTGTGGGTGAACTTGAAACCATAATATGTATATATAAAAATCTTAAAACTGCAGCAATATGCTTTTGGCCTTAAAAGAATGGTTTGGTATTATGTATGAAAACTGATTACAGTGTTTATTTGTTACCAGTCTGTCTACAGGACAGTGTGTTAGCATTCTGGAAACATGGGATGCAAGGAAGGAGTTTCAGATCAAATGAGGTGAGTAGTGCATTTTGCTTCAAATTCTAGTTCCTAATATAAGTCAAGTTCAGGATAAATGCATGGTGTTGTGGGCTGAGAAAGATTAAAACTTTTCAGTGACTGTCTAGGTTAGACCTGGAAACTGGAATCTTTTTCGAAGTGTGTCTCATGCCATAAGAAGTATCCAACTCTAATTCTTGCTTACATTCATTTGAAGACCATTGCTATTAGCCCCTTAGGCTGCCACAGGTGGATGCCTGAATGTAGGCTTTGCCAGTAATGGTGTAAAATTGTACCAAATCATTGTAAATACCTTGCCTACTCCTTTTTTTCTGCTGTAAATTTTGTGCAACCAGTTGTAAGTGAAAACACTGTCTTGTATAGGATTTTAATGAGTCTTTTAATTGGATTTTTAAAGAATGCTTACAGACTTCACCAACTGCTTCATCAGTGTCACATTTGCTGAGAGAGTTCATTATGACCAGTTGTATTTTAAGGCACATGTGTAGTCATACCATGCCAAAGCTAGATATTCCACATTGTTACACCATTCCATTTATTTGCACAGAGCTACAGCTGACCTAATCTACAGTGACAGTAATCCTGCTCTTTGTGGGAAGTTGGACCAGACACTGTAGTCAGCCTGCTTTCTGTTTCCAGGTCTACAAATGCACTTTATGGTATTTCTGCATGGTGGATCACTAGGCATGACTGTCCTTTTCTCAAGAACTCATAATGCTAAGTGAGCTGTAGCTCCTGTGCTGTTAGCTCAGAGCATGAGGAGATGATGATGCCGCTAGGCACTTCTCCAACTCCAGACTGCTGCTAGCAGCATTGTGCAAAGCTCAGCATGTTACTCCACCCACTGGCACTCAGCTCTGATCCAGTTGTGAGAGGACATGCCCCAGAGTGCGGCAGCACAAATGGATGCTTTACATTGTTTATGTAAAGCATAAGGAACACTGTCTTCCTGGTTTGTTATTATCAACCCAAAGCCAGCATCCAGATGAAGAACAGACAGCTGAGCTGAGCAACTGCCAGAAAGTCACCCCAAACTTTTTTATGTAGAGGTCTTTTAAAATTCCTTATCACTCCTGGCTGTTTTAGTAGCTACAACCGTTAAGAAAAAAAATAAACCAGTTTTCAGTGGTAATGTGAAAAGCCTGCATTCTTTGACATGGATCGTGACCACCTTTGTTACTCTGTGAGAATTGTGTAGTGTATAAGAAGCTGTTACACCTGAAAACACCCTTAAAAAACACCCTTACCATCCTAACACTGCAGCACATTTTCTCTTTGAAGACTTTAGTAGAATCTGAATTATTACTAATTCTTTAGCCTAATATTGTCTGGTCTAATTGGGAATGATTTTAGCTACTCGTAAAATTATTTCACCTTTTTCCTCCACAACTGTGACCTTCCACAGTGACTTGATTGATTGATCGGGAAAGGTGAAACACCGTGTGAATGCTGAGACAAGACTAGAATGTGGGCCAAGACGTAGACTTGAAGCAACTATCTTAGAGTGGGACACCTGATTGTTATGAATTTTTTTTTTTAAGTTCTCTGTGCCATAAGTGTATTTACTTAAGACAGCTAATACTGCTAGGGTCTAGGAAGGAGAGAAACATCTCTTCTGGCTTCAGAAATGTGGCTATGTAGAAAGGGAGCTTTGAAACACTGCTTCCCACTCACAGTATGACTTGATATCCTTTGGAGTATTCAGTGGACTTTGGTTGGCATTATTGGTTAAGATACTATTTTCTTTGCTACTTTTGATATTCATATAATCATAAAGACATATCTCACAAGTACAATTCAACTGCAGTACACAATGAAACATCAGAGTACTGTACAGATTACTTTACACAATGGGTGTAAGTGCCACAAATTCAATTGTTTCCCTTTCAAGGTCTTCAAAAGATGAACTTACTGCATCATTATGATTGAGAATTCCAGTGAAATGTATAGGCATTGTGTGTGGCTTACCTGAACCATTTCAGACATCTACTGTAGAGTGAGACCAATTAGAGCCATTGAGGTACTTATTTCAGTCATAATATGAAAAGAATTGTGCCAGTAGCTCAGGTGCTGTGCTATGCAGTGCTGAGCCTTGCTGATGTGATTGCAGTTGCTACCAGAGGAGCTTACATTACTTGGCAAGAACTGGGAAAAAAACAAAACCAAACGTTTTAGATCTCATTTATGAGTGACATTTGCAATGAACTTACTAGCCACCTTAATTGAGTAGTAGATTTGTAATATTAGCCATTGTTTATTTTTTAACCAACCTAAAGAAAATAATTAAAAATCACCTGTGCACTTAACATGTAAATACTTGTTTTATTTTTATTGTCTAGATCACACAAGAAATTTCTGATAATACAAGGATATTCAGGCTTCTGGGATCTGACAGGTATGAGAAGTGAATGCAGCATGCTAAAATTGAGGCATAATGTTTCCCTCATACCTTCTAAAAATATTCTGTATGTTTCTTGTGATTCCTTTTCTAGCTGTCTTACTCATTACTTTGTGTACATGTGTACCTTTCATCACTTAAACTTTATTTCTCTTTCTTAAAAAAAAAATAAAAATTCTTCTAGAAGAGTTTGTGAGCTTCCAGAAGTACTCAGCCATGACAGGAAGCTCATAATTGGCTGTAGTTAAAATCTCCAAAGAGCTTTTTCCTTGCGCTGTAATTCTTTTAACTTACTAAAATCTTTGCTTTGAGATGCTCAGCTGTGTGAGACAAATGCTAAAAAACCAAAAAAAAACCCTCACCTTAAAAATGCAAATATCTCAATTTCACCCACAGAAGAGAGTTGTATCAGCATGGCAGCTCGGGCCTTTTAAGAGCTCTTCACAGTTCTCAGCATAGTTGTTCTTTGGTGTTTCTTTTGCAGGATGCAAATACTGTGTCTGTCTGACCCATCGATCAAATATTAGCTTGCAAAGTCGGTCACTACTATTTTAGGAGTGTCACTGACTTCTTCAGGTTTCTCTGCCCTGCTGTCAAACTTTGTACTTTAACAGCTATGAAAGCAGCATATGTTTTGTCTCTGGAGTGTGAGTGCTGACATGACAGTTTCACCAGCAGCACATTCATATGTAGTACAAAGATAGACTTCAGTTTTTAAGAATCGTCTCTGTCTTAGGCTACTTGCAGGCAGCACACTCTCTTGTAGCATTTTGGAACTACCAATAAGCTCCACAGCAACCAGAGGCTTTCCCCATATGCTACTTGTCCAAGCTTGATGCACAGCCCTATAATTACCTGTAACATCAACAGCACTGAATAGTGCTGTGGCTTTGTCAGCTAGCAACCTCATGGCAATTCTTGCTGTCTGGGGGTTGAGGGTTCTGCCTTATGTGCAATACCTGATAGCTCTCTGGTAATGAGTAATTGTAAGCAACACTCATCTCTGACCTGAGGGTTTTAATCTCCTGGTGCCAGTGAGATGTGCACGGAGCTCAGCTTTACTATGTCATTTCTCTTTGTTGTTAGGAGACAGCATAGCTTAAATTAAAAACAAGTCTGACTTCAGAATGGAGCATGACATTGCAAATCATTGCCTTGGAGAAACATGCCTTCATAAATACTGTTCCATTTGTTTCCATCTTAGACTAATAGTCTCCCAAGTCTGAGACAACATTTAAAGACTTTGTGCTGCAGTAAACTCTAGTTCCAGATTTTTCAGACATCATTTTTATTACAAGTCTCATATCTTCTGCTTGAGCTGTGAAACCTTTTCCAGCAACACGTCTCTCTCTTTAGGAGTTCATAAGAGTGGGGTTCTGAGAAGTGAAAAAATCTAATATCAGTATGTTAAAAGCTTGCATGTTTCCTCCTGGTGAGCAGGGAATGCCTCATGGGGCGTGCTGAGCAGAGTATTCGTTCTAACTAAGCTATCTATTCTTGGATGAATTCTTGATAGATGGACTTCAGTTTCCCAGAATGGGGTGGTTGTGGAGAAGAACTGAGTCATAAGCACCCTGATTTGTTCAGCAGTTTTAGCAGTTCTTGCCTGATTAAACATCTCACAGTTTGTGAAACCAAGCTGTGATTGCCGATTTCTCTACTTTAAAGAGAATGGTCTAATGTAGGACATGCCCTATGGTCTTTGCAGTGGTAGTACAGATCTGCATGTAATTATGCTTCTTATAAGAATTCTGTTGGCTTACATTTTTTTGTGTCTCTGGGACTTTCAGAGCTGGAAGAAGTTTCTGTGAATTTAGTGACGTTCAATCATTTGCATGAGCTCAGGGAAAGGCTAGAAATGCTCGCAGAAGAGTGGGCTTTGGTCATCTGGCATGTCCATAGGCAAAGAACAGACTAACAACATCCCGTTTGAGGGATGAACTTTGCAAAGCTCCAGGGAAGCACAAGCACGGGCAGTAGGGAGTGGTGCTTTGGTGTCAGTTTTGGACGACAGGCCTCCAGGGAAAGAGAAATGAATGCTGCTCAAATGGGCACCCTGAGAAAGAATGTTTACACTTTGACTTTGTGGTTGTTTTATTTTCATTTTAGGGTCGTGGTGCTGGAAAGCAGGCCGACAGATAACCCAACAGCCAACAGCAATCTATATATCCTCGCTGGGCATGAGAACAGTTACTGAGAATGGTGTGCAGCAGCTCACCTCGACAAGATAGCACTCCTGCGGCGGCATTCACGGCTGGCTGAAATTGCACAAAAGCTGCAGTAACCTGACTTCAGTTACTTTATAATTTATTACGGCATGAGAGGAAGATGAGAATTGTTTGTGGTATGGACACACAAGCATTCAGATGCCACAAAAGTGCTTAATTTACTGTTATGTAATCTTTGTACATATGCAGTATTTTTCAGTGAAACTTCTTGGTGAAGACCTACACTGACTTTCTGTAGATAGTGGTCCTCCTGTTAAGTACAAGTGTCTTACCTGTACAGATGTAAAAGTCACTGAGGATGCAAAAATGAAATCGGGGTACTATTTTAAGGATTTGTCATGTGTTTATTATAAAGTGGGATGCTAGGAACAAATATAGTACATTTAACGACACTATTGTATTTTATTATATGTAATTTACTAATACAAATAAATTTAACTTTTAGAAATTGTAGCCAAGGCTGTAATCAGATTACAATCTTGTTTTAATTTTGATGCAACACACTGGTGTTCATGTTTGCACAACATATTGAGATGTGATGTATTCAGTCACAAAGGTAAGCTGTGACTTTGTGGATATGACTTGGGCTTCAGAGTTCCCTTTTTTTTGTTTACGCGGGTAGTTTTCTTTGTGGAACAAACCAGTTAGACACCTGTATTTTATATTTAATTAAAACTCTCTTTACGATTACTTCTCTGTGCTTGAAAACAAGACTTTCTGGATGGGTGTCAGTCCCAGAATAGTGGTACCTTGCTGTAACACTGCAGTAGGTGTTTGAATTACTAGCATATACAGTGAAAAAAAATTAGTATTACTGTTTGTCTTACTAAATAGTTTCATATCACAGTGAAAAGGCAGCAGCATTCCACGTTGTGGAAATGGCTCGAAGATTATGTCATTTTGACTTTTTTTGGCCTTATAACCATTTTCACACTTTCTTTGATTTAGGATGTTAACACATGGCCAAAATAATTTAGTTACTACCTCATTCAAACAATACAATGGTTACTACGCATCACAGGAACTTAGTTTTGATCAGAAGTATTTTTGATTGCTATTTTCCAATGGAGTATGTAAATGCCAAGTTTTAGCAAAATGCACACATTTGACTCCTTTTTTGTATATGTTCTTTTATATTTTATTGTGATAATATACACTAAAGCCAAACTAAATTTAAAGTGATTTATGGCCTGCATTATTGTTGTGATTGGTAATGCTTTGAAATATGTTCTCTAATGTATATAATGTAAAATAAACTTTTTTTAACATGTTGTTGTACAAGTAGATTACCACATGCACTAATTTCCACATAAGACTAAAATCTGCTGATGGAACATACTGAGTCTTGAATTCTGCTATTAAATGTTTGTGCCGAACACAGAAGCTGGGCGTTGCTGAATGTATAAAAGGTCAGACCACTGGAGCTCCACTGAATTTAGAGTAGCACTTAAATGTAGGCAGTATTACTCTTGTATGCCCCTAGGCAATGGATATATGTATTTTGGACATGTCCTTCCAAACTCTGGCTTGTTTAATTTCTTCCTCAGAGTAACTTGACCTCTCCCTCTATCAAGTGCACCTCTGTTGCTTGCAAAACTTGATTTTTATTTTAATCTTTTCAGCCGAGCTATTTCTTGTTGGTCTGTTTGTTTGTATAATGCCTGTAGCTTGTTGGATCTGCTGGCCCCATCTCCTCCCTTGCAGTTGAACCTCAAATCCGCCCTGTGGGAGAGGTGGTAACGAGCCACGGTGCCGGGAAGCTGAATTCTCAGAAAAGGCAAGAAGTTCTGAGTGTTTCACTTGTATATTGCTGCTGCCCAAGGGGGATTTCCATCCTGCCTCTGTGCACTATTCCTCACTTCAATGTGCAAAAAGTAACAGACTTCTAACCAAGTACAATACAGCTGATGTGCAAGCATGCTGCTTCCTCTTAGGTTTCTGCAGCAGCTGGGGCCCCGTAGCTTGCTGTTTGGGGTTTCTGGGGCACTGCTGAACAGGGAGCACCAGGAGCTTGGGAAAATTGTTTTTTGCTCAGGTTGAGCAGTTCTGGTAGAAAGACGTACAGCTGCGATTGCTTGCTGAAATCAAGGAAGACGGGGAAAGAGAAAGGAGAGAGCGCATGTGCTAAGATGTGATTGTCTCAAGTTTATTTTTACAGCCAAGACACCTTGCCTTCCCTGTGCTACTTTCTAGTTTGAAACATGAGCTAAGGCTGGATCCCGGCTCAGGTGGAGCTTCTTCAAGAGAACAAAGAAGCAGGGTTGTCCAGGTCCTTCGCAGAAAGGAAAGCTGTGCCAGAACCCCCAGCCTGACACTGACAGCTCAGGTCATGCCAGCTTGGTGCAGTATTTTGGACCGCAGCCCTCACACGTTGATCTCCAGCTAGAAGAGCTTGTGAGCAAAGCACGAGTGTAATTTTACACCCAGTGTTGCACATATTTGATAGCAGGCTTTAAACGCCGACAGACTGATGTTTCGCCATATGGCAGACTGTGAGATGCTGAGATGGCAACGCTGAACTTGCAGGCAGCCTGCTAGGCCAAGCATCCAGCTCTGAGAGGCAAAAATTCCCTCCTTTCATCCCCATCCCAGCGTGTTCAAAGCAGAAGTCTGACTCCTTCAGACAGCAGAGTCTGGCTGGAGGAAAATCACCTGAGGCAGAGCTGTGGGGTAAAGGCAGTTCTTTCTGAGACGCTCCATCCATTGTCTGCTGCAATGCTGCTCAGTGTCTGGGGACCATCTCCTGTCCTCAGAGCGCTTCACATGCTAATTAAGCGAGCTTCTCCATGTGCCTGCCGTTTCTGACAGGTGTCTGTGGTATCGGCCCTGGAAAAAGATGAGACTCCACGGTCTGCTCAAGTGCTCTGTCTGGGTACCTCACTCTCCTCCCATCCAGGAAGCTGATCCCAAACCATCCTTCCAGCAATCTGCAGAGGTTTCACACTTCTCACCCTCCCTGCGAGCATTAGCTGGCTAACTTCTCCAGACTCCTTGTTTTGCAGAACAGGGCATAGTGAAGCTGCATTGGATTTTCAGCATCGTTTGCCCTGCCAGGCCCCACAAAGAGGGAACATCAATTTATGTTACAGCTGTGCTTTTCTTGGCCTTTTTTTCTCCCCCCACCCTTCAAGCTGCTCTTGTGCTGCTTGAACAGGGTGTTTGTTTATCCCTGATCTCAGCCCACGGGAGGTGCCTCTGTCTTTCTAAGGACAAGCAACAGAGCTTCCCCAGGAGCAGTAACACTGCCCATGGTCTCCAGCTGCCAGCAGATACCCAGAGGCAGGCGCCATCACCTGCCTGCATCTCCATCAGCCACACAAGATGCAAGGCCTGGTGCCAGAGCGAGCAGTCAGCATGTGGGCACTTGGCTGAGAGAGGGGCTGAGGGCTGCTTCCCCCCAGCCTGGCTCCCTCTGGAGCAATTAAACTTGAAGGTACAATAAGTAAATCTGCAGACAGCATTACATTAGGAGGAGCTATTTCTTCCCTCAAGGGCAGAGAGGCCTTGCAGAAAAATCACAACAAATTAGAGGGCCGTGCAATCACCAGCTGCATGAATTCGATGAGAGCAAATGCTGGATTCTGCAGCTGGGGTGGGCAACCCTAAGTCTATGTACAGAATGGAGGAGAGGCTGGAGAGCAGCCGTGCTGACGTAGATAGCGGGGTTCTGGTTGGTGAACAAAACTATTAGTGTCCAAGGGAGGCTGCAGGGATGGAGAAGGGTCTGCAAGACACCGTGTGTGAGGAGTGTGGAGGCGCCTGGGTTTGCTCGGCGCAGCGCAGAGGAGCTGCGGGGAGGCCTCGTGGCGGCTGCAGCTCCTCACGGGGAGCGGAGGGCAGCGCTGAGCTCTGCTCTGTGGGGACGGCATGGAGCCGTGTCAGGGGAGGGGCAGCTGGGGTTAGGGGCAGGGTGTGCACCAGGGGCACGGAGCGGGCTGCCCGGGGCAGTCGTAGCCCTAATGCCGGAGCTCGGGGTCTGCCGAAGCCCGCTCTAAGACACCAGGTTTGGGTGGTGCTGCGCAGAGCCGGGCCCGGGCCCGATGATCCTCGCGTGTGACAGAACGACGGAGTGGCTCGGGTTGGAAAGGATCTTAAAGACCGGCGTGCCCTTCCGGCTCGGGTCAGTCTATGATCCTGTGATCCTCTATAACGGTACCCTCCCTCCCCACTGCGCGGTGCTACTCGGGCCCCGCAGCGGCTCGCGGCCGAGCTCCCCTCGCGGATCGGGGGGCAGCCCCGCGGGGGCGGAGCGGCGGCGTGAGGTCACCTCCACCGCGCAGGAGGGCCGCGGCGGCGGCGGCGGCCCCGCGGTCGCGCAGGCGCGGGGCGGGCCGGCGCCGCGCATGCTCCGCGGCCGCCAACCGTGCGGGCGAGGACGGGGAGCTCGGAGAGCGGGGAGACGGCGGCGCTCGCGCTCCGGGCGCCCGACCCCGCCCCTCGCGGCCCGCGCGCCGCGCCGCGTGACCCCGCTCCCGCCGCCCCCACACCTCCGCGGCGCCGCGGGGCGACCACCGAGAGCCGGGCGGGGAATGCGGCAGCCGCCGCCTCCCCCCGCCGCTGCGGGCCTGCCGGCGGCGGCGGCGGCGGGGGGCCGCCGGGCCTCCTGGTGAGGGGGCGCCCAGCCCTCCCGCCGCGGCCTTTCCTCCGCGCCGAGCCCGGCCCGCCCTGCCCTGCCCGCCGCCCCGAGCGGGCCGGGCCCGGCGGCACCATGCAGGCGCAGCCGCTGCTCTACGAGTTCTTCAGCGAGGAGAACGCGCCCAAGTGGCGGGGGCTGCTGGTGCCCGCCCTGAAGAAGGTGAGGGGGAAGTGGGAGCGGCGCTCGGCCCTGCCGGCCGCGCCGGGCCTTCTTCTCCGTGCCCTTCTCCGTGCCGCCCGGAGCGCTGGGGGGGAAGCGGCCGGGCCTCTCCGCTTCTCCCGCTCCGGAAGCGGCCCGGGGAGCGCGCCCGGCCCGGCCCGGCGGCGCGGTGACAGCCGGGGCTGCGGGCGCGGAGAGGGCCCGGCGCCCTGCACGAGCGCAGCGGGCCGGGCGCCGCGGGAGGGATCGCGGGGAGCTCCGGGTCGGCCGCGCTCGGGGTTACCGGCCCCGCGGTGGGCCGGTCCGAGGGGCTCCGGTAGGAACGCCGTCATCCGTCGGCGTGGTGGAGCTGACAGGCGCGGACGGACGCTGCGAGGAAGAGCGGAGGAACGGTGAGCGCTCCTCCGTCCTCCTGCAGCCGGGCCCGAGAAGTGCAGGACGTGAGGAACGGCGGTGTCTGACGCTGCTGCCCGGACTGGCCTCGGATTGCCGGCGGAGCGCTTCTTGGTTGCGCGGCAGCGTTTTCGTACGGCTGCGTGTATCCACGGCAATGAGCGGCAGCTGCCGGGTGAAGGACCTGCTCCCAGGGCTGGCCGACCTCTCGTTCCCCATCGCGGACTGGAGGTCTCAGGCACTGCAGTCGTACCAGTGCAGCATTTCTTCCCAGTTTCCTCTTGCGACACGTCGCCCCGTTTTTCTGGCCCGCTCTGAGCTCTAAAACGCTTTGGCCCCATCCAACTCTTGGAAGTCTTCTTGCTTGTCTTCTCTAGAGTGTGCTGTGCTCGAGGTTCAGACCTTCTCGGTAGTCATTTCTTTGGAAGCAGATGGCTGAGCAGACTGTGTGGCTCGGGTTCTCGCTGCACCTCTGAGTGTGTGAACAGCCACCGGGTCGGGGCTGGAGCCACCTGCGGCCTCCAAGCACCTTCCAGAGGAGTGAGCTCGTCCTGGACATTCCATGGCATAACGGTGTGCCAGACTTGGAGCAAGGCTTGATGCTGAGTGCTGGAGAAGGACACATACTGAGGGTCTCAAGGCAAAACTTAGTCTGGAATTATTTGTGTCAAGAACACAAGGTTTCATCCCAACGGACAAGCTATTCACAGGGTTACCTTGGATTAAGGATGCTTGCTGGAGGAGTTGGATGAATTGCTTGGGTGAAAGGAGGAAGAAGAGTCAGAAGTCACAAACAGGCCGATGGAGATAAGCTGCCAAGGGTGTCAGCTTGACCCTGCAAGGTATAGTCGTCTTGGTTTTGTGGTGTGGTGTTCTCTGTGGGTCGTGGGACAGCTGGGTGAGGTGCAGTTAGTTCTGAAGCTCTGATGCCCAGATGTGTGACTGTCGAGCAGATGTTGGCGCTTTGAACCTCTGCTTTCATGAGGTTTACACCTGTTTCTTATCTTCTCTCGTGCCGTTGCCCAGCATACTCTAGAAGTGTCATCCTCTGCTGCTTCCTGCTGCTGTCCCCATAAATGCAGAAATAAAGAATGCATCCGCATTGTTATCTTCCTTGCTGAACAGCCAAATACTTGAGTTACAGGAAAACTAAATGACAGATGATAACATACAGCTTCTTAATAGCTTCTTCATTAATTAAAAAAACAATTGGAGTATTTTACTGACTTAAATGGGTACAAGTTATCTTGGCTGGCGTGCTTAGTCCCGATAAAGGCCTCATAAAGTAACAAACCTGTCCTAAGTATCAGGTGCAAGCAGAAGAGCTGCAGTGTGCTTGCTCTGACAGCTGTCTGTTGTTGCTTGGGAGACAGGTGCAGTGTGCAGCCCTGCAGTGGGTAGCTCAGGGCAGTGTCCCCATGCTTTGCTGCCCAGAGCAACTCGCACCTGGAGCCTACATGTGGGACCAGTAAAACAGAGAATGTGGCAGCGAATGCCAGCAAGACCAAAGGGCAGAACCTTCCCAGGAGAGCGCTGTGTGCCTTTGCTAAATTGCTAGAGCACGTGCTCTCTGCGGTCAGGTTATCAGGTGCTGATGTGCACCCTGTCATGAACCGAGGAGGATTTTCCCTTCTTGCCTCCTGTGAGCTGACCAAGCTCTGGTGCCTGCTCTTGGGTAGTGGTAGCACTCTGGTTTCTGAGTTCCTCCTTGAAACCTGTTGGGTACCCAAACAGGATCGTCACACTCTCCTGCTTAGCTGCAAGTGAGACTTGGGAAGACTGTGTTGAATTACTATTGCTGATTAGGAGAATGGTGTTTAACATTGTTGAAGCACGTATGCCAGCATAGTGTTCCCAGCTATTGGGGAAGGCTACCATTATTCTTTTGTAACTACGCACTGGCTTGTAACTTGGAGCTCAAACAGCACCCCTAGAATCACTTCCTAAAAAATAGGTATTGTTGAGTAATTGCAAAGGGTTTTCTCTTTCCTAATGAGTTATTTTGATTCTGTGTTTTTGTTAACAAAAGCAAGCATATAGTAAGTATAAATTGCTTCTTACATCAGCGAAGTTTTACAAGCGTGTGTCGTGTATTTCATTAGATATGGGCCTTAACAATGGAGTCTGTAATGCGCTGTCTTTGCATTCAACAGCTGCATTTGGAAAAAGCAGCTTTTGTACCATTCAGATCATAATGTAATCCCTTTTCTTCCTATTCTCCTTCAGATCCTGCCAAGATAGACTTCAGTGCACTCAATTAGGAGGGAAATGATGTGCAGTGAGATGCTTCTCTGCCTGGTCACTATTATTTTGAAGCATCAGAAGACAAAGTGTTACAGAGGCCCTCAGTTGCTGACAAAAGACAGCAATCCTGTTGATAAGCTTCAAGAAAAGGAAATAAGAATAGCAGCTGGTGTTTGAAATAGAAGTTGTAGAGGTGGGCAGGTGAGGTGCTGGGGCTGAAGACGGAAGATTCAAGGCATACGAAACACCAGAGCTCTTGGCTGGCTGGAGACAGAGACCTGTGGATTTTGATGCACCATGGAACATGGATTCAGAAGGAATGCCTGCAGAGCGATGCCTCTTCAGCTGGTGTTCCTTTGCTAGTGAACTTGCACGCTTTCTGCTGATCGTCATCTTTTTTGGATCATTTTTCTTGAACGTCTTTCCTTGTGGCTTCATCTTGCTTGTGCAGTAGGAATTGCTCTGCATATTCATGATGTGCTTCTTCCCTGATATGTTGGTTTTTATCATGGAAAGTGTCGTCCCTACTGATCAGTTAAACAGTTTGGTTATTTAGAGAAATAAAGAACATCCATACCATACGGATACTCCATTGCTTGAGTACCTAGAGCTGCTGTGAATTTGTGGTGCAGTTTATAAGGGGCGCCATTGGAATTCATTGTGGTCAAAATGATTGGATTGAAGTGGTTTAACAGCTGAGGAGGATTTGCTGCTTCAGCTGAGGGAAGTGTTGTAGGTAGCGAGCTTGCACGTATTCAGCGTATCGCAGTCAGTTTTCTATACCTTCCATAGAGAAAAGAGATGAGCAGAGTTCCTGAAGTGACTAAAGAGTGCTCAGGAAGCTGTGGCTGACAAAAACATTTTTACCTGACTCTTAATTACCTTTTTCTTTGAACTGATAGCAGTCCAATTGCTGCTTTTCGCCCAGAATGGTGGTAGTTCTTGTTGGCGGTGCCTTGCTGCAGGTGTAGGGCGTGATTAATTCTCAGTAGCTTTGGATTCTCTGTGCTCTGGATGGCTGTGCAGGATAAAGTTAAGGTGCTGAAGTGTGGATTTAAGACCTCCGTGCTTGGTTTGGTTTACTGAATTAATTGATCGAGGTAACAACACCGCATGGGTGGGATTGCTGACTTGGCAGAGAGTACAAGAAGAAAAACACAGTTTTTGTGGAGTATTTGCTCTATGAGGACACTCAGTCACGCGGGCTGTCCCTAAAATGTTTGATCCCAGAGTGTTTTAGTGATAAGAAGCTGCTTGTCAGTGGTTTTGTCATTGAGGGAATAGTAACAAAAGCTGCTTCAGTGGGAATAAGGGTTATAATAGTTGTTAAGACTTTAAAAGCAACCAAAGTGGGGGAAAAGAATAAGCCTGCTCTGTTACCGAATTGCTTCTAATAATAAACTATCTGCTGAGGTCTGTATTTTCTGCTTCTACCCTTCATATTTTGGAGCCTTAGAAAAATGCTTTAATCAGTTGAGTCTCACCCTATGTTTTGGAAAACAGCTTGGTCTTTGATTTGGGAGAAGTGCCAGAGGCCTTGCCTCTTTCCACTATGTGATAGTGCAAGGAAAATCATAGATTTCCCCTCCAATGATAGTAGAATATTTGCAATTTAAGCAGGCAGAGAAAGATAATGGCTCTCTCTTTCTTTTCTTATGCAGCCTGCCTTCTTATTGCAGCTTCTTCCATTTTATTAATGTGATGCTCTGTTCAATAGAGTGTTTTTCCTTCAACTGCTTCCTTGCAAGCACTTCAGCTGCCATCAAGTGGGACTGGCAGTGCAGTGGTACCCCTGCTTGGCAGGGAAGCCGCTTGTTCTTCAGCACATGTGGGTGTTTGGTTGCCACTTTGCCTTCTTGCCATACCCCAGTAGATGGGCAGTCTGACCTGGGTGTGGAAGTGGTGTTCTCTACCCAGGAGTAGATTGTTTGGGGTCATTACTTAGCTTAGGATGATGCCCTTCTGTTATGCATCTTTCCGAAGCTTCTGCTGCTTGTGATGGGAGGCAGTTCTGTGTAGTTCTAGGCAACCTTCATATACACAATGAAGTGGTTTTTGCCATAAGCTGAAATGCTTCAGCTTCACATTGGGTGTACGTCTGGCCTTTGCTCTTGGAGGCATGAGGAAGGGGTAACTGAAAATTGTTGCAAAGGAAGCTTGGTTTAGTATTAGTCAGTTTGCCAAACTTATTGTGTGAGTCTTCCCTTCTTACCTGTTGTCAGACACCTCTGTAGGGCAGAATAAACTGCAGAATGTCAGCAGCCTAGGCTTGGTTTGGGGTTATCTTGTGATCAGGCTCAGTACTGTTGTGTTGGGCCAGAGAAAAAAGCAATCGGGTGAACTGAGTTGCAGCTGAGCAGGGGAGGTGGGGGCTTCTCGCTGCTCTCACTTGTGCTGGCCCGCTAGGGTTTGTTGGGGTATCTCAAAGAATTGAAGCTTTTGTCAAAAGATGTTTTTAGGCTGTTCTTGTGGTAATTTCCCTTATCACAAGATAGATGTTTTGGTGCGTGTGGGAGGGAGGGATGGGTTCTGCCAGTATTGAAGGGAGAGGTGAAATGTGTAGATAAGAATCTTATCTAAACATCGCTACACTTCAGAAGTTGTTTCTCTGTGTTTATCGGGTGTGCTCCTGTGGTGGGCCTTTCTGGGGGGTGGGGTGGCCCTCTTGTTCTAATTTTGACTCTGAGCTGCTTCTCAGGAGGATGGAAGCTGCTTCCCCTTTCCCCAGCGGGGCAGTCCCCTCTTTGGGACTCAGCGGTGTGGCAGAGCCTTTAGCAGGTGCTCTCACTTCACGCCTTCTTACAAAAACCTGCCTCTTGCCTGTCTCACATCACACTCCTGAACCTGCTGACCAGTGCCCTCAGCTGTGGCCAGCCCGGGTCCAGCCTTGGTGCCACTGTGCTTCAGATGACATGCTTTGTGCCCCTGGATCTCCTTTCATTTTCCTTGTTGGACTGACTGTTTTCTTGCTTTGGCTTGTATGACTTTGAACCCTAAACGATACTAAGTTTCACTTTGGCTTCATTGCTATACATTTACTGCCTCTCTAATGGAGGTAAACAGTGCCGGCGACCTGCGGCACCTCGTGCTCTGCTCTGGCGCAGCTCAGTGGTGCCTGAAGACGGCGGCCTTCAAGGAGAATGATGTAACTGCTCCCCAAACATAAAAAATGCTTGGAACTTTATCTCCTGAACTAGGAATAGGTTATCGTTGTTGACTCCGCTTTGGCTGACTATGGATAATGTTTCAGGTCATGGCCTGATGTGGTATTTGTTTGTTCTTATTCCTATAGATTTACAGACAGAAAGGGTTTGAAGTCTGCCATCTGTTTTCTAAGCAAGGGAGAAAGCAGAGCGACTTCTCATCGCTCAGGTTTATCATGTTACGCATTCTTACTGTCTGGTTGACTTGGTAATTTAGTATTTTCAAAATACAGAACACTATAGTAACCTGCAGGGATAACTAATGTGAATATGTTCAGATCCGCCTAAGAAAAACAACGAGAGGGCGTCTTGTAGGCAGCTTAGACCCGTTGATCTTTAAGAGAATTTTTTCTGCAAGTCTGTAATTTGTGATGTGAGACCGCCCCGGGATGGCACAGTGTGTCAGGCAGCAGTGCCTGAATTGTAGGCCGTGCTGGGGGCCGCTGGACGCGCTGTTCCCCAGGTGCCTCCAGCAGTGTGCTGTGTGTTACTGGGAAAATGAAACCATTGGCATAATCAAAACACTCCCCTTAGGGAGAGCTTCACCCGTTCTATTTCTGCCCACATTCTCAAGTTAAAAAGCAGTAAATGTTGGAGGTGTTTTTTAGGACGTAATGCATCAGGGTATGCAACCTGCAAAAGCTAAACCCGTGATCAGGCACGTTTAATTCTCAGTAGCAGCTCTGTGAGCAGCAGGGCTGTGCCTAGACATGAAGTGCTCCAACTAATGAGTGCCTTAGCGAGCAAGTGGATTTCTATTTGAGGCTGTTGTGTGTTTGAACTTTGTAACATTTAATTCTTGCTATGGCTGCAAATAGGAATGAGAACTCAGCTGTGAAATTAAATAATTATGGCAGCAGAATTTGAGTATAGACATAGGCTTAGTATTCGGATGAGACAAATTGTTGGGTTTTGGCTTAAGGTGGTTCTGCTGTTCTGTTAGCAATTGGGAGAACTGGAGGCGTTTTGAGTTGAATGCACTGGGAATGGTAAAATGATGAAATGAGGGCTTGAAAAGCATTGCGAAAGCCAGCAACCAGCGTGCTCTGCCATATTATTTGCCACCAGTGTTCAGGACTGAGATTCATCCGCCTGTTGGTTTTAGGCTCTTGGAGTGCTGAGCTTTGCACGCCTGAATTTCCAACGGGTTAAAATTGTGCTGTCCCACAAACTGGCTGTGGAAGTTTAAATGACCGTCTGGAAAAACACATGGGTGAGCTGACCCCTTGGGGAAGCTAAGCAGGAGCGTGCCTCTGTGGGTTTACCCCAGGGAGGACCTGCAGACACTGGCATACGTGTCAGATGGTGGCATATGTGGAGATGTGTGGGGACTGAACTTCAAAAGCCTCATGCTGCTGAATGCCAGCGTGACCACGGCCTACTTCAAGTGTTCCCGTTCTTCCTTCTAAACTAGAGCCTGACATCAAAACAAGGAGCGTGGAAGCAAACTTCTAAACCAGCCTTATTTAATGAGGGCCTGTTGAGAATGGATTGGACGATTTGTTGGCTAAATGCTGCTGAGGTCGTTTCTATTTCTACAGGGCTCTCACTTTGAAAAAGGTTCTGTGTATTACTGTGTTGTAGCTTGAGTGGTGCACGGTGGGTTTGAGAAGAGAGGAAGCACCGTGCCTGACGTATATCCTGTACACAGTGGTGTGAAGAGCTAGGGGAGAAAGATCAAGTGGGCAGTGTGTTTGAAGAGTTTTCCCAATTGCACTTCTGAACACCGTTATTAATTAGGTGGTTTCTGACTTGAAATATTGCAGCAGTTTGGGTATGTTTAAACGTTTGAGGTTTCTATTTCTATCAAGTGTAAATGAGCATTTCAGTTCTGTGCAGTGTGCCTTAGCAGAGGTACAGCACATGCACTCCTCAGTGGAGTTACCTGAGCTGTTCTACTCATCCTTATGTCATAATATTTGCACGTTTGGGGAAGAGCAAAAATAACACAAATTCTTCTCTTTTGTTCAGGTTCAGGTGCAAGTCCATCCTAAACTCTCATCTACCGAAGATGCGTTGCAGTACGTGGAGGAGCTAATTCTCCAGTTGCTAAATATGTTGTGTCAAGCCCAGCCGAGAAGTTTTCTGGATGTAGAGGTATGGAGAGTGTTTGTTATAAGTCTGATCTCTGTTTTGCAACTTTAATTTCAGTTGTTGTATGAAAAGTTAATATAATAATGATTTCACAATGTAGAAGAGAACTCTTGGTAGAAGAGGGAAAAGCACTCATTATGTTTGTTTATTCAGCATGAAACCTCTGCTGAATTACCTAACAGGCGATTCTCTGATCAGTTGCCTTTGTAGTTTGGAGTACAGTAAAACTGTCCCTGTGATCCACATTACTGTGCAGCAGTTGGGAAGCATAACTTCTGAGCATAAAGCTGAAAGCTAACTGGTTCTTTTATAAAGACTTTTCTTTCATTGCCCCCAGTACTGCATGCTGACTATACCTGCATACTGACACCTCGCACTGCTTTCTCAGCCTGCTGATAATGGCTGGTACCTCTCAGAACTAAAGTACTTCAATCACTTGTCAGAATGAGTCAAAGAACACTTCTTTTTATAGAAATGTCTTTTCTTATGATTCTTTTGTCAAAGATTTTCAGCCTGACGTTTGAGGAGAGGTGTCTTATCTTCATTTAAGAAACAAGCCAATTTAGTTGTGCCTTAAGCCCATGAATATCTTGGTAGCCCTTTGTGCTTAGCTGGGCTGCAGATTCCATTTGTAGTGAGCACACTGGTGTCCAGCACCTGTGGGCTGTGCCAGGTTAGGTTGCTAAACAAGATGCAACTTCCTTGCTTTCTGAGGAAAGCGTAGAAGAGAAGTGCAGGCAGCACACTGACAGGGATGTGGGGGGCTGAGGAGCTAACAGCCTAACAGAAAATCCACCAAGCTGTCTCAGAGCTCAAGATTTATGAGTTCTGTGTGTTTATGTAGCAGAACCGTCAGCATAAAACCTGCTGACTTACCTAAGAGGTGTTTTTCCCATAGGTTGAACTTGTTGTTCAGTGCCCAGTAAAACTGTCTGTGTGAGCTGTCTTACTGTGTAATAGCTGGTCATAAATTTCATCCTTCCTTTTCTGAATGCTGACTCCCCAGTGGTGGTCAGGATCCCCTCTCACGGCTGGCCTGTTTTGCAATGTTCTTCTGGTCAGCGGAGGTTTGTGGAAGATTGCATCAAGTGTTTTGTTGCTGCTGTTCAAAGCACAACATCGAATGGAGTGTTGCTTTAAGATTCCTAATGATGGTCAAATCAAGCCCTTAGGATGAGAAATAGAAGAACTGAAGATGATCAGGCAACCTCAGTTTACCCCCTTAGTGTTTATACATGATGATGCTGTCTTTAATTACATGGTCATACACGTTTGTTTTTCCCTCGGGTCACCTTCATTCAGCAGTCTGAGCTGCATTAGGGGAATGATTTGGTGTTAGCAAATGAGCTGTAGGTTATTTTCTACATCTCCATTTTCCTTTTGCTGAGGTGTTATAATGAAGGGGAAAAAAAAAGATAGAAGTGCTGTATTTCAGAGAGTTGGGTGCTATCTTTACAGAGCTGTAATCTGTCCTGTATGTTTTTTTGGAAACTTTTTGTTTGTGTACTTCGTCCTTTGTAGTGGTCATAAATTTCATCTTCCTCATTTCATGGTTGCTCAAATTGGGGTCATATTTACGTAAGTGAGCACTTGCAGTTGTAACAGTCAGTGGGAACAGTGGTCTGAAAAAATGAGATGTGAAGTTATCTGAAAAGTTAGATTTCTGACTGCTTTGTTTAAGCATCTGGGCTGCCAAAACCAGGCAGGTTTTTGAATCTCTAGAGATCCATGTGTGAGCTCCAATGGCAGAGCTCTTTGGAGCATGGTATGTACGTAGGTATATCCAGGCATACTGGATGAAGTATATAAACTGCTGTGACTGTTTTACAGAAGGAGGAAGGCGCTAGGATGAGACACAGTCCTGTATTTAAATGCTGAATTATCAGGCATATGTCTGATGAGGAAACTGCGTACAGAGGCAACTTAATTCTGGTGCTTCTCAAGTTTTGAGCACTAGATTTGTCTTTGTTGATGATTTTTTGGTACAGCATCGTGAATGTAGTGAGGAGCTTGTGCCCAAAACGGTAGAATTTCAGGCTTTTATAGTCTAAGTATTGACATTAGTAGATGTTCATCTGTTAACTAGTGGAAAGCGATTTCATAACGTAGTAATATTGCTAAGTCATTCAGATAATGTGTTTACCCTTCAGACCTTCTCTTTTTTTAAGGATCGTGTTCAGAAAAGCTTTCCCCATCCTATTGATAAGTGGGCAATAGCTGATGCCCAGTCTGCCATTGAGAAACGAAAACGAAGAAATCCGTTATCTCTCCCAGTAGAAAAAATCCATCCTTTATTGAAGGTAAGTAGCGATGTCACCTTGCTTTTGGAATGCAATTGGAAGTTGACTGCTTTGTTTTGTGTGATTTCTGTTTGCTGCCTGAAATGTAAACAAACAAAAAAAGCAACAACATATGATTCTTTCAACGTAATTTAATTGCCACTGTTTCCAGTTTAGTTAATTGCATATATTTGTTTTGCTTACACATCTAAGGATATTTTTGGAAATTTCTTGATTGTTTTTTGAGTCGTGCAAGATAAGAATAACCAAATATGTAGCAAATGAGTGCATAGATTTCTTTATCCACTAGAGAGTGCACTAGTTTTCAAGCAAGATTTCTGGGACAGTTCTTCACTGTGGTCACTTCTATAGCTGATAGAGCAGCATTTACAGTGATGCTGTTTGTTTACTTGGCCTACGGACTGTTGCATTGCTGTTACTAGAACAGGCTGTATGTTGTGGATGTTGAGCAAAGTCTTAAACTTACACCACAGCTTACAACTACAAATCATATATTTTGACACCTGAATAACATGCAATATTTGTTTTTTTTCCTTTCAGGAGGTTCTAGGTTACAAAATTGACCACCAAGTGTCTGTTTACATAGTGGCAGTATTAGAATACATTTCTGCAGACATACTAAAATTGGTTGGGAATTATGTACGAAATATAAGGCATTATGAGATTACAAAACAAGATATTAAAGTGGCAATGTGTGCTGATAAGGTAAGTTTAACTCTTTTTTTTAGTGTTAAAAGAACATTTCAGTTGAATTTTAAGAGGACAATATCTCTTCCTTACTGAGTAAGCGCTATTGTACATTTGAAAGAAGGGATTGCTGCGGTAAAATATTGTTCCACTGATACAGCGAAGATGTCGAAAAGCTAATTGAGTTACAGAGCTGTTGCTTATGCTTATTTACAGATAAATGTCTCTTTCTTTTGATATTGCTTGCCTAATCCCAGCAATGTGTAAATGCTTTAAAAATGGTGAAGCAGCACTGACTTCAAAATTTCATGTACCTTGGTTGTAATAGTTGGACCTTCTTTTCTTCTTTGTATCTTGAAAAAAGAAGGCTGATTTGAAGCATGGGTATTCTCCCAAAATAAGACTGTATTGCAGTGTTGCTGTGGTCAAATGGTTAAAAACAGATAAACGTGGGCATCTCTGTTTCTCTGTAGGCATCCATACTTTTATTGCCAAGTCATCTTTTCTATGGCTTCAGAGGAGTCATTAGATTCAGACAGCACTTAACCTCTTTACCCAGTGATCCAGCAGTGCTGGAGAGCAGCCCGTTGTGTTTCAGGTGCCTTCGCATTCTAGTTTCTGTGGCCACCTCATCAGCATCTTGAGTTTTCCATTACTTAAAAAAAAAACAAAGCCTGAAGTTAGTCCTTTAACAGATGGGACTTGGGAGATGCTCATCTTGCTGTAGTCCAGTGGATGCTTTGTCTAGGGCTGTTGTAATCAGTATCTTTGGTTGGACTTGCATCTACTTCAGGGAGTGCTTTTGTCTTGTTCATGCTTGCATTTTTTTTCCGTCATGCTTCTATCTTCATCTCAAGAGGAAAGAAAGGTGGTGTGTGAGGTTGCGAAGAGTGAATTATTAGTTAGGACAGTTGTTTTGGTCATTTGGCCTTACGTTTGGATGCACCCTCCTGGGTTGTTACGGCAGCGTTTGGAGCCGTGTGCTTGAATATAGAGTAGGAACAGTATTGTTGCTGCATGTCTCTCTGTATCCTAGGCAGGGATGGGTGATGAGTAGAAGAGGCTAATTTGGAAACTGTTGGGCACTTGTGCATTGGAGGAACTCTTTTTAGTATGTATGTAGAACAGCATTTTGGGAGCTCTGAAGTGGGCACGTTGATTTACTGTCTCAGTGGAACAAGCCATTGGTAGGTATTCCCAAAATGTTTTCTTTTCCAGCCACATCAAGGACCTTTAGGTTCCTGCTGCCAGTGTGTGCATTCTGCTTTTTTTTTTTTAACAAAACAACCAAAAGTTGTCGTCTTATGTCTCTTTTCCAAATGCTTTCACACTTCTCTTTGTGCCATCTGTCCATCTGAAAAATTCTACTTTGTTTAAAACAAAAAACAAAAAAAACAAACAGAAAAACCACAGAGCAAACAAAACCACACACAAAAAAAACCATCACCTGCATTAGAATGCAAGCTATTTTTATTTGACTGTCTGCTCATGCTTCTGAATGCTCTAAGTGATGCCAATTCAACAGAACTGAGGAGCTATTAGGGACAGATCCTAACAATGTGTGGGCATGCTAGTATTCATCACAGATATTGGGGTTCTGAGTTTAAAGTTACAATTGGCTTTCTGTTAAAGCCAGAGGCGAAGAGCCAAAATTGCACATGCCTCTTCATAATATTGCATCTTTAGAATCTTAGATTGTGTAGGCTTATTCAGTGTTACAGAACGTGATTAAATGCTAACATCTCTGTACTTCACAGAGCTCTTAAAGCAATGATTGATTTTTAGGACCGTGTTCTGAAACATGCCAAGACTGGCCTGAGTGACAGGGTTCTTCAGAAATTTGCACTGCAAATAATGACTTGCAGATTCATAACAGTGCATGCTGCTTTCATAAACTCAACCAATTGCAGGATAATATGTTCAAACACTGCTGCTGCTTAGTTTGATTTAGTAGAAATAATAATTTTATTTTCTGAGAACTTACTGGTAGATCTTGAAAAGTAGTTCTTGTCGTTTTATGGCTTTGTCTCTTTGCTGCCTAGGTATTAATGGATATGTTCCATCAAGATGTAGAAGATTTAAGTGCACTAACTTTATCTGATGAAGAGCCCTCCACTTCAGGGGAGCAAACCTATTATGACCTAGTGAAGTCATTTATGGCAGAGGTTCGGCAATATATAAGGGAACTTAATCTCATTATCAGAGTCTTTAGAGAGCCATATGCCTCCAACTCCAAACTATTTTCATCTCATGTAAGTGTTGTGTTTAAATAAATGTATGTATATATAACGTAACGTATAAATCTCGGTATACATTCATAGAACTTAACTATTGTCCAGTTTAACACATCCGTAGCAGAGAAACCACTTCCATTGAGTTCTGAAATATGAATTGTAAAGGAATGCTTGTGAGGAAGCATCTTTCTGTAGGTGAAACCATTCAATTTTATGTATTCACTTGCAGGAAGGACTAGTTTAAGGTTGGTCAGTGCTCTCTGCCATGTTAAATTCATTGTAAGTGCTTATATTTGTATACACATGTATACAAAGTCATTGTTTTAAAGATAAATGCTATGATTTTATATTTCAAGAGTTACACAATATAGATTATAAAATCTTGGTCTGATTCCCGTATCGTAACAGAGTTGTTTTGCACATAACACTTTATCTCAAATTGTGTCCAGTTCCTCGTTGATTTTTGTCTGTTTCTGCTGCTTTGCAGGATGTTGAAAATATATTTAGTCGTATATCAGACATTCACGAACTTAGTGTAAAGTTACTGGGTCATATAGAAGACACTGTTGAAATGACAGATGAAGGTAGTCCTCATCCGTTAGTAGGCAGCTGTTTTGAAGATATGGCTGAGGTAAGAAAATACTGATTTTTCTGTTGCTGTTGTTAATCACATGTATTTTGAGGATTTGCATATACGTGCTAAGCGCATGTCTGCGCAAGTTTAGATTTTTATTTCCTCTTCTAACCCTCCCCCAGTCATGAGTAGACTACTTTTCCAGAGTGCATTCACCTTTATAGTCTTAGTCTTCAATTTTTGTAGGCTGTTTAATCTTTAGTTAGTGTGGCAGGGGTAGGGAAGGGGGTTGGGAACAAACAACATCCCTAGATTAGATTTCAACAGCAAAGTGAAGGAAGGGCTTCCTGCCAGCAGGTGTCCTGAGGTGGTGAGGAGGGCTGTTACACTAGGCTTGCTAGGGGATGGAGACCGAAGCTTGCAGATGGAGGATATCACAGAGGAAGGTCTTCAAAAGGAACATTGTGGATGAGCTTCTGCAAAAATTTACCAATCAAAAACTGATCAAAGCCTCCTTTAAGCAAGGAGTTACCTCATTACCACAGACCCTGGGTGAATAACCCTGCTGACATCTGTCAGGAGGACAAGTTACTGTGGTTGAAGTAATTATGAGATTTCTACAGGTCATGAGAACTGATGTGGATTTGACAAGTGGAGTGTTTGATGGATGAGGAACTGGTTGTGAGAATTATTCCCAGAGAGTGGTGATCAATGTGGCTCAGTGTCCAAATGAGAGTGGCTCGATGTCCAAATGGAAATCAGTGACAAGTAGTGTCTCTCAGAGTTTAGTACTGAGACTGATGCTCTTTAAACATCTTAATCAATGACATCAACAGTGGGATTGAGTGTAAATTCAGAAAGTTTGTGAATAACACCAAAGCTGTGTGATACAGTCAGCACGCCTGGCTGGGATGCCATTCAGGGAGACCTAGACAGGCTCCAGCAGTGGACCCAGGTGAATCTTGTGAGATTCAAGTGCAAAGCCAAGTGCAAGGTCTTGCCCGTGGGCTGTGGCAAACCCCATTTATCAGTACAAGCAGATGAATATAAGGATAGAGCACAGCCTTACAAAAACAGCCTGGGGATACTGGTGGATGGCAGTTGGACATGAGGCAGCCAGGTACCCTCACAACCCAGATACCCAACTGTATGCAGCTAAGCTCCACAGAGATTGTCCAACCTGAATTATTCCATGAGTCATTTTACATTAAGCTTGACAGTATTGATTCATCTCTATATTTTAGAATAACTAGGCAAACAAATCTCTCCAGTGTAGTATATGTATTTTCTTTCAGCAATAAGTTTTAGATATTAAATCAGTTTTGTGTTTCTTCATAGGAACTAGCATTTGATCCTTATGAATCATATGCACAAGATATTTTACGACCTGGTTTTCATGATCATTTTCTAAGTCAATTATCGAAGCCAGGAGCAGCATTTTATTTACAGGTAACTTTCTTTTTAGCAAGCATTACTATTATTATTATTTTTATTACATTATATTGTTACTTCAATACATTTGTTTTAAGACTGAAACTTATTTCTTTTCTAGTCAATAGGTGAAGGCTTTAAAGAAGCTGTTCAGTATGTTCTACCCCGGCTGCTCCTTGCCCCTGTTTACCACTGTCTTCATTATTTTGAACTACTAAAAGTAAGAATATTGTGTCACTGAATATTTTTCATCATTCTCCATGTTGGATATTAGAGCTTTGTGGGATCAGTGAGATGTAAAAATTTTGCATTTAAATAATTTGAATAAAAGGCAGGCTGTATGTACTGGTATGTATTTGAACTGTTTTACATCTGCTAGTGCTTTTTGTGTTGAGTTATCAAGTCAGTATTAGTTCAGAAATCAATAGGGATATAGGTACTAATGTTCTTGGAATGATGATGAAAGATAATGGTGTATGGCTGTATCACAGAAAATGCTCAAGACTTTCTCAAGCTGACATTTTGTATGTTTAAGACTGCAGTAAGATTTCGTTTAGACTTAATTCTCATGAAATAGTGGCCTTACAGTGCACATCCCATGATGGGTGGGTATACAAGTGTTATCCTTCCTTCCCAGGAAGGCGTGGTTGAATTTTTTGCAATGAGACCTCATATTATTGTTACCATACCAAAGACTGGATAGTACACACATGTATAGGAAATAGATACGGAAGGTTTTTTTTTGGAGTGATTTATTAATTAGCATTGAATAATAATCTTAGGAGCATTGTGAGTAAACTTTTCAACTAGAATCTCCATATTGATTTAATCTAAAGTCCTGAGGGATACAGAGGTTTCAAACTTCTTTATGTTAATTGTGTGAGGTAGTTTGGCTCAGAAATGAAGGAAAGCGTGAAAGTTTATTTGGTTGTCTTGAGAAATAACCAAGCAGGTCATTTTTAAAACTGTAAACATAGTTTCAACATCATCTTTACTGATTTAGGTCTAAGAGTACAGTTTTAAAATGTGGCTCATCTCATATAACTTTAAAAAAAAAGTTTGGTTTTTTTTGAGACTTATGTTCCATCTGTTTGTCTAGCTTATGGACTTGCTCCAGTTTTTCAGATGTTCTTAACATTTTAAATGTTTCCTTTTCTGACTGTTCCTTGGGAGAGAGGTGTGATGCAGCTTGTGTGTGTTTTGTATTAAAGAGACCTACACAGATAAGATTCTTCTGTTCATGTTTCTATTGTATAGTCTTAAAATGTACTACCTCACTGCTTTGCATGCTTCTACATGAATGTGCTATTGTCTTGTGTAATAGACATGGCATAAGTTAGTGCTACCTGAAACACATGCATCCTGTGTTAACTCTTGCCATTGGTGATTTTTAACAAAGGAAAGAGGGTGTATGTGCTTAAGGAAGGAGAGAGCAACAGCTTGTATTTCATCTCTTGTAGGGCAAACTAGGTTCTCTAATAAACCCAGCTCCATGAGGTTATTGGTCCTTTCACAACTCTATACCTGTGCTTTATGTGAAATTCTTCCCTTCTCTCCCTTTACCTCCTGTAGATATGATACTATTGAGTTGTATTTTGTTCAGCATGTGGTAATAACTTCACAGGCTTTCTTCACTGTAATCTGCCAGATAGGATATATGTGATAGACAGTGATGGACAACAAGTGCATGTGAATTGAGACAGCAGCTTTCATGGCAGTAGTTTCATCTGTCAGTACATACATGCACACAACATATGAATGCCTCCCTCAAACAGTTTCTGCTGGCAATTTTTGCTCTTAGATCTAGAATCTTCAGACAGATTCCAGCTTGGTTGTATTTAAAAATGGCCTAAATTGCTGCAGAAGGGTGCTTGGGGAATTGTTCTGTTGTATATTCCTGCCATTTCATTGACACAAGGTTGTACTGAATTATTTTGTATGGTAAGAATCCTGATTTAGTATTGGTAAAGTGTACCTATGAATGATTAAGATGCATTCTACAAAAAGGGATCTCTCAAGACAAGAAAACAAAGTATAGGCAGAATATTGTATGTAGTGGGAAAAAATGTTTTCTCTTGAATATGAGATTCTGAAGGACAAAGGGCTTAGCATTTTTCTTTGAGCATGTTGTCTAATCTTACATGCTTTGAAGTTACCTGTTTAAAATGCATCTCAAAGTTACCTGCTAACAATGCAGACTACAAAAAAATGCAGTTTCTCTCCACTGATGTTTATCATGTTTAGAAGCTTAAGCCCTTCTGAAGCCTGGCAGGGCACCAGGAACACACAAATACAGGTTCTATTTTTGGCTGAAGCTCTTTGCTATAACTTTGGAAAATCAGCATATGACTAAGGGCTGTGCTCTCCTTCAGAAAGCCTAAAAATTCCCAAACGTTTACGTAAGAAATTAAGCATATAAAATAGCAACTTCTTGTGAGACTTTGTCTTTGTGCAAATTTGCAGATATGGTGAATGGGTTTTCCTAGATGTTAACTCAACATTATATGGAGTGGTGCAGGTACTACAATACTCAGGACCTTGAGTTACTGAAGATTCTTGCAAGATTTTTAAATAGAATTGGGCACTGTTTGAGATGCTGTAAATTTGTGTGTATGTATGATGCTCTTTCCGTCTTTTTGGTAAATGGAAGATTATTCTAAAGTTAATTTTTGTCTCAAAGCGTATATAAATTTTGCTTGGATAAAATAATACTTTCTGGAAGACAGGATGGCTATTTATGGATATTTATGCAAGTACAGACTTGGCTACTGTGACTTAAGAATGGAAATTTGTCTCTTATAAGTATTTTTAACTTTGAATTCTAACTATACTAAGCTTAAATTTGCAGGATGCTTTCATTTCAATAGCATTTTGTGCTTTCTACTTTTTTTTTTCCCCAAACATTGTTCTTAAATAACTTCCTAATCTTTACTGACTGGCAGTTCAGCTTGAGTGGAAGTACTCCTCACTTGAACTTTTCCTTGTCTTCCTCTTTTGCTATATTAATGTAACTTTAAAAGAACAGTCTGGTTTGGCAGGGCCTTCTGAGGTAAGGAACCACTCTTTCTCTAGTGTGGAGGAAAAGGATCCCGGGGATGTGAGCTGGCAGCCTGCTGAACGTGAACCAGCAGTGTGCCCAGGTCAGGAAGGCCAATGGCATCGTGACTTGTGTCAACAACAGTGCAGCCAGCAGGAGCAGGGAGGTCATCGTCCCCCTGTACTCAGCTCAGGTGAGGCTGTGCCTCCAGTGCTGTGTTCAGTGCTGGGCCCCTCGCTACAAGGAGGGCATTGAGGGACATGTTTAGTGGACAATATTGGTGGTAGGTGGATGGTTGGGTGCAGTGAGATGATCTTGGAGGTCTTTTCCAATCTTAATGATTCTGTGATAACACATAAGTTAGTTTGTGATCCAGTCTGTAGCTGGGCTGGGTTACTTCGGTGTGGAGAATTGCTGAGTCTTAATAGTTGAACTTCAGCAGTCTGCTAAGTTCTCACAGTGCCTGCAGTAACGGATCGTTGTCCTGAAATATTGTCCGTGTTGCTTGTATTTAGAGCTGGCAGTGTAATTATAGGTTCTGTAGTCTGATGTGCTTCTTTCCAAGCACAGTAGCTTGTACGTACAATATTGTTTTGAAAGTAAAAGTAAGAGCAAAAGTATTACTGCTTTACATGTAATTTGTATGCTTAACAGCAGATGGGAGTGAATTTGTTTTACTTCTATTAAAGACAGTGTGCAATTTTGTGTTTCTGTAGCAGTCAATGACTTACCTGTTGGGGAGCCTGATGCAACTGTGGGTGATGGGGTCTGCATGGTGTATGAGTGTCTGGGAGGACAAAAGATTGGGTGATGTCAAAATAGGTCTCAAGTCTGATGCAGCTTCCTGGAATGTAACAGTTGGTGGAAAAAAACTAGCAACTTCTTCCTATTGTGAAGCTATGAAAACTTAAGTTACAATGAAGACTTAAATTACTTCTGTAGTGTTACACTGGTACTGAACTTGTTCCTGTGGTAGGAGTTGGAGGCACATGCAGGTAAACGAGGCTCTGTAGTTCTTTGGTACCTCTTTGTGGTTGCCTTGATGACACTCTTGCTTTTCTCCTTTAAATGCTGAAGTGTTGGCCTCTAAGTCAGCTTTGTGTGTGTGACAGCCAAAGGAGGAAGATAAGGGAAAAGTAAGACTTTGTTTTATGTGCATGTGCAGTTTTCCCACAAAAGTGGTTACTAATTGGTCTCTCTGCGGCAACTTCTTAATTGAGAGAATTAATTAATTGAAAGAACTACCCAGAACACATTTTTTGTCCTTTTAGCTGTGGTATTTCTGATGGATTGTGTGTGTATCTGAGATGCATGTACTGGCATGCCTATTGCTTCATTTGTTGGTGAAAGCCACGTGTAATGGAGCCGTGATGTTCTGTTGCATTGGTGTTGTCTTTTTGTACTAGATATGTCTGGGCTTTTGAAAAGCAGACTTCTATTTGGAGGAAACTTTCTATTGAGAAGGAATTGCCTTGTAGAGTATTTTCTCCATTATTCTACTAACATTGCTTTATTGCAGAAGCTGGATGAAATCTCAGAAGAACTAGAAGTAAAAATTCTTCCCTTTGCTCTACTCTCTGTGCTGCTCAGTGCTACTTATGCAGTGTTATTGCCATTCTGCTGCCAGACCAACAAATACTGCACTTTGGTCCCATGAAGCAGGGAGTAGGTTGGCATTGGGCCAGACTCTCCTTATCAAGGTGGTGCCCTCTTTGAAGAAATCAAGTGCAACACTATTTTCTGACTTTTTTTCACTGATGCATTTACTTTCAGTTCCAGTGCCCTATGTTCTGATCTGTGTTCTAGGATTTCATGCAGGGCAAATCTACCTGGAACTTTAGGAACTAGGAAAGCTGTAGTGGGCAGACTGCTTTCTAGCTGATGATTAATTCCCAGTTCTCAGTGACAGCTGCTAATGATGGCAGCTCCATCATACATAATAGCAATTCAAGCTGAACACCCATGGCCAAGCTTTCATGAGACTAGGCAAATGTATTACAGGAACTTGGACAAATTTTGGTATTTTTCCTTATAAATGAAAGTTCTGACACAAAGAATCACTACAGGGCTGTGTAGGGGGAAAAAAAAAACCTTATTCTAGCTGGAATTTTCAACACCTGTTGGTTGTCATGGCAAACTTGTATTGTTGTATTTTTACATAGCAGTAGCATGTTATATTTTTA